CGGCCACCGGGACTATTGCCTGAGGATAGTTGATATGCTTCGTCAATAAAGATCACACCACCGCCGTCATTCAAAATGTCATCTAACAGCTTCTGACAGCCAGGCACACCCAGAGATGCCAGTTTTGATCCAGACGTCTCTTCGAAGCGACTGCCAGCTATGACGCCCACCGACACCAAAAATTGGGCAAAGATCCGTGCCACGGTAGTTTTGCCTGTGATCGACATATCAGCCACCGAATGACACTTATTGTCACTGCGATTGAGCCTTACCTGTACCGGGATTCCCCAAGAGGGAGCAGCCAAACCTCTCCGTCGACAATGAAATCTTCTGTCTCACCGCCGTGTCGACTTTGGACTTGATGGAGAGGAACTCCTCTTTAATGCTCTCGAGCCCGATCATCTTCATGAGTTGATCCATAGCACTGCTGCTAGCACCGAATTTCGACTTCAAATTCAGCCACTCTTCCTCTGCGCTTCCGGGTTTTGGGGCTGGGCTCGCTGTAGGTTTTCGTTCATCTGGAAAAGCACCCGGAACTCTCTTGGGAGCTTCTCTGGCAGCCTTAATCATCTCAGCACGAGCTCTCGTCTGCTGCAGAGCTCTGAGTTCTTCTTTGCGTTCTTTCAGAGTCTTGTTCTGCTCGAGGTCCTCTTGTTCATTCATTATTAGTCTTCTCTGAAGATCCAAGTCGTCTTCTACCTTTTGTAGGTCTTGGGCGTATCTCTTCTGTGCCACATCGCGACCCACTTCCATCTGCAAGTCGCGCTTCAAGCGCCTCCGACTGTTCTCATCCTCCTTGAAGCATTCGACGCATTTTTTAGTTTGGTTGTTGCAGTCAACGCTGTACATATGTCCCCTGTCGCAGTGTTTTGCGACCTTTGTGTGACAACTGATCTTGCTATGATCCATGAGTCTATGGCACCGGCGAAGGCACTTATGTATGTTGCAAGACAACATGACGTTACTACATGCAAGTTCCGTCTATTAGCATAGGTCCTGCTTTTACGTCAAATTGAGCTTCTTGGTGAGACTTACCAAGCTTCGTCGCAGCCACCTTCAGGACACTTTATATCGAAGTCATCCGGTTCTTTGAGCAATGCGGTCCTGCCAGTGTGCTGTTGGCAGCTGATTGCGAATCCATCATGTAGATAATTCTTCTCCTTCAGTAAGGCGAAGAAAGGCAACCAGACTGCTTTTCCGTGCCCAGATGCCATGAAGGTTTCCATGTTGCCGAAGAGAATGAGACACTCTCTCGCACGAGAACATAAAACATTGAGCCGCTCAGGCGCTTTCATGAATCCGATGTCGCCATTATTGTTGCTCCGGGTCAGAGAAACAATGACGATGTCGCTCTCTTCGCCCTGGTAGTTATCTATAGGCAAAAATAGGTAAGGCTTCAGTCTTCAGACTTCATTGGCCGAAAGTCTCTTGAACTCACCGATAGTCGAAAGTTTGATTCTTCCTGATCCTGATCCGTCGTGCACTTTCCCGGCGGCAGCAGTCATGAGTCCCGCGCGAATGAGCTCAAACGAATCTAAATCATTGAGCCAAGGGTCATTCTCGGAGCTCAAGATTTCTCTGAGTAGGCGCAATTGTCCCAGATATGGCGTGAGAATGACGAGGTTTTCAGTGCGATATCCTTGCTGCCCAAGGTATTTGACTAGCTTCAGAACCATTCGCGCTTCATAGAGATTACTCTTACTAGAGACGACACCAACGTCGCGGCGATCGGTAATATCGCCGGCCAGGTCTTCTGGGTGGCTGTGGTTGACGAATCTGACTCTTCCCTGAAATCCCTTGGGAGGCTTCCGATCCTTGGTCTTGTCATCATCCAATAGATCCGGGTATGTCATCTTCCGGACAAGATCCGAAATTTCGGGATGCATGCGATGCTGCTTTTGGAGTGTGATGTGGTCGTGTCCCTGGAGAATCAGTCGTTCAAAGAGCGAGCGATTGAGATCGAAGCCGTCTCCTTTTTCGACGCTTAGAGCATAGTTGTTGATCTTGGGTCGCAGTTGTTTATGGTCCCCGATTAGTAGGAGCTGCTTTGTGTCGCTGTGCAAAGCAGTCAAAACGTGAGCCTCGAGGATTTCACCAGCCTCTTCAACCAAAACGACATCGGGCTTTGCAGCCTTGATCAGCGACTTGTACATGGCAGCCGCGGTTGTTGTACATCCGACGACTCTCTTCGTTTGCATAAAGGAGCATTTGGACTCTCTGAACAGCCTGTCCACTTGCTCCTGGGCTTCATTGAATCTCTTGATGAGATTCTGGACTGCTTCGATTCGTTCCTTGCGAATGCACTCGACCCACCGTTGGATATGTGCAGATCTCTGAGCCATTGACAAGTACCAGATATCGTGGCTTCCAGACGAGACGAAGTGTCGGAGTTCACCGGCATCTTGTCCCGTAATCCACCGGCCCAGCAGATAGTCGGGACCCATGGCTCTGTTACTTTTGCCTGCGATCTGGAAGCCTCTGTCTTGCTCGGGTAAGAGAAAAGCTTCATAAAATAGCTGGTCATCGTCGGAGAACTCGAGAAAGCTCAAGAGCTCCAAAGAACCAACCTTGTCCCGGACGAGAAGGTCGCATGCCGACCCCATCTCTCTTCGAACTTCATCCATCTCTGTTTTCATGCCGTTGATGTGTTCCCACGTTGCATTATTTCGACGGTAGGCGTAACTTCGCAATTGCTTCTCCAGTGACAGGGCTGAAGTTGATTCCTTTGACTTCGATCCTAGGCGCACCATATCACCGGATGAAATGCCAATTTTCATCAGATCCTCGAGGAACTGATCTAGGGCATGGTTGGTGTAGCTCAGCACCAGAATTCGCTTTTCTGGATCTCCCAGCAGTATCTTAGCTGCCAAGGCGCCAACGAATGACTTTCCAGTTCCTAGAGTTCGGTTAACTTCGTACATATTTAAAGTGTGATATATGTGTCTTAGTTGAAATGACTGAGGGTAACGTACCAGGAGGGCCTTGGATGAGTGCCAAAGGGCTCTGTAACGCATGCAGCAACGATTGAAGTTGAGAATCATCGAGTCGGAAAGTCTGCGTGCCCAAGGAAAGGCAGCGTGATCCACTTTTCATCATCTCTTCCAACCTTCTCACATATTGTTGGACGTAAGAAGTTTGCTGAAGCAAGTCTTGTGGTTGACTTTTCTCATCGTTTGGGAGCCTCAGAAGCCTCTCTGCGAGAGGCAACTCTGTTATTTCCTGAAGACACTCCAGAACGGGTTGATAGGCAAACACCGGAGTATCTACAAGAACGAACCTGAGATTGTTTGACGGTGTAAGTGCCTGCAAAGCTCTTGCAGTAGCTTCGCTATCAGTGAATTGCAGGGTGACGATGGGGGGCTTCTTCGACAATTGGTCCACGTCCCGTAGCAGGAATGCGAACGCGACAATATGGTCTTCACCACATAAAGCGCCGAAAGACTGGTGTCGAAGGAAATTTCTGTGGTCATCAAAGAAGGCCTTGCATTTGGCCGGTGATAGCTTCTTTATGATCTCCAGTCCCCCGAGGCATGTAAGCGCGACCGCACAAGCACGGCTTCGCCTATCATCGCCGGTGTCAATGCCAACAGGCAACAATCCTGAGAGTATCTGGGCCCTCTTCTTTCTCTTCTTTCTTCCCGTAGCTACTTTCAAATCATCACGGAGTTCGCCCAACATGTCTTCACGAAGAAGGCGGAACTGGTTATCCAGATGAACACGCGGTCGCTGAACCTGATCTGCGGCAGCAACCTCGGCTGCCATTCGATAGAAAGGTTTGGCATTGGAGTAGAACTCGTCACTCGTTGGAAAAATTGAGATATCACGAAAGCTCGAAAAGTCATTGTCATGGCGGCCACCGGCTGCCTCGAGGTTCTCATCGCCAGAAGAGGATCTGAGAGCGAGTACTTTTCTGATCCTGTAGACGAGGTCACGAGTCCCATGGTTCCGAGTCTCGCAAAACGGCTTCTCGTCCAAGGCGTTCGTGATGTCCTCTACGATAGTATCGATTATGCTGTCAGAAAGACCGGAAAGCTCGAAGCAGAGCCACGCAAAGACTTGAAGCTCGTCTTCGGTAAGTTGAGACTCTCGGAAAGCGCTCAGGAGTTTTCCCCAGAGGGCTGGTGGGTAGGCGATGATGAGTAGGACTTGGTGAAGAAGCTGCCCACCGTACATCATCTTCACTCCGGGGTCGCTCATATAGGCAATGAATGGTATAACGTGTGTCCTCATGAAAGAGATTGACGAATCGATCCGGATGCTGTTGCTGATGGCATTGCGTGCAACCTCACTAGCCGTGATGATCTCCAGGCAGGCAGCGGGAGAGGTGTTCGTTCGAACTGCCTCGAGGAACAGACGTGCCTCGACTGCCGTGTAAATTGCTTTGCCACCTTTAGTGACATCTCTGAACACTTTCAAGAGGCGGGGAGCGCGAGCAGGATCAATCTTTTGAGTGGCAATGACACTCTCTGACTTGAGCGGGACCATGATCTCGTTCGTAAGGAATTGATGGAAAATGTTTTAGCGACTCGCAGAGCTTTCAAGCTCAAATTCTGGAAGCATATGACGTTTTGTAGTGAATAAGTGCCGAAAGAGATGGCTTGATCTCGTTCTCAGTGCGGTTTTCCAGCCGATCAACGAAGAAGTCGTCACATGCGACGGTTGGCCCAAGTATAAGTAAGCAAGCAAAGTTAGGCTTCGACGTTTTCTGTTGGAAGCCAACATGTTGGGGACCTAGAGTAATAAGAAAGTAGAAGTACCACCAAGAGTAGGCTTTCTTCTCGAAGATTGGGTCGCGAGATGAGGGGTTGTAGGCCTCCGGCATGAAGGCTGCAAGAGGCCGCCTCGCAGCTCGATGACTGGTTCGCCATCCACAGAGCGAGTCGCCATCTAAAAGAGGTTAAAAATCAACATGGTTACCAACTATTTCGTCGTTTCTGATTCTTTCATAGTTCCCATCTAGTTTACTGGCTCTTCAAAGTCCTCCGTTCCTGCACCAAGTAATGTATCGACGACAGAAACATGACCAGCTTCAAAGAAACCCGCGATGGCGGCGGTCAGAACCTTCGACGACATGGCCGGCGCCACCATTCGGGCCACTCGTAGAGACTGTCAGTGTAGCAGAACTGTCTAAGCCTGCCTTGGAGTTTGAATCAACTGCCCGGGTGACGGGCTGCCAGCTTGTCGCGTCGTATAACTGGCTGGACAGGACATCGCCGTCAATCATCGTCCCAGGTGAGTAGTGCTACTGTACTCGTCCGAGGGCATGGTGGTATTAATGAATTCAGGTGCGCCACCCAGATGGACACCCCTCGCGGAACCTCGACAACTGTCAGAAGACGACGGTGTCTATTACCGTGACAAGAACGCTGCTCGACACCCAGCTCATCCGATGGAGCCCGCCATCCAAGCTATCCTGATGGCACACCCCGAGCCCTCTCCCAGGCCCGTTGACATCGTTGCCTGCGGTAGTACCATCGGGAACTTGCTCCGCTTCATCCGAGGTGACGAGAGACCCTTCCGGATGCTCCTCGAGGTGGTTGGCGATGCTGTCCACCTAATCCGTAGGGAAAATTCCCCGAAAGAGACAATGTCTGATGTCAGGGGCTACGGGCACAAGTTTCCAGAGGCTTACACGACTTGGGATTCTGAAGTCCGCGGTTCAACATCTCATCAGCGGATTATTCAATACGACTTTGGGGGGCTTCGTTGCCTTATTCGTCACGAGGGTGATGGCTACCTCCAACATAAACAAGGCTCCTCTACGAACGATACCCGCACCGCCTTTGTTGAAAACGTTTCAGTCGGCAGCCTGATCGAAAACCTCAAAGTCAAGGAGACGGCACCAGGGAGTCCGCAAGACCAATCTCAGCAAGTACAACTGAAGAGTGGCGGGTTTGAGGTGCCCCAATGTGCAGTTTTTGATCTCAAGACTCGGTCAGTTAAGCGCAAAGGCAGTGATTTCCTTGGCGAGGAACTTCCGCGTTTATGGGTTGCCCAGATTCCTAACTTCATCCTGGCCTACCATGATAGGGGCACGTTCAAGGATATTGAGGTCATGGATGTGGTTCAGGAGGTCAAAGCCTGGGAGATATCGAAGAACCCGGAGCTCTCTCGACTAGCGGCGCTCCTGTCTCACATTGTCCGCCTTGCTCGTGCACAGAGGAATGACAGGCTTGAGCTCAGCCGCCAACAGCTCGACAAGCTCGAGATTCGGAACCAGTGCCCTGGACTATCTTCCGCATTCTCTAGTGAAGTCAATGAAGAGTGGGCAATGTGGCTAGCTGGAGATGATACACAGGATGGCCCGAGTACGGATGGTGAGGATGGACTTCAGTGGAGCGATGGCGAAGGTGACTATACAGCCTGTTCCGAGAGCTGTTCATACTGTGGAAAGTGTACGTATTGATAATGGCCTTTCCTTCCAGACTTACAGATTGGATACTATATGAAGGGTATTGTAGTTCCTGTCGAATATATTGCCATGATTCAAAGACCTGTGCAAGTTAGCGTTGTCTCCTCAAAGATCATCACGGCAGTTTATGTAGGAGAAACTGCAGTGCCGATGGAAGAAGTGACCACATCCCTAGTCTTGCTATCTTTGGTTTCGTTGTGCATGGTGGTTTGAGACTCTACCATTCTCTGAATCTCAACTGGTCACTGATAGATTCTCCCTGGCCATTGACCTGGTAAGTTCTGTTGGTGGTGTCGCGAACAAGGTATCGTTGATATGGTGGGATGTGGTGGTTGATTGAGGGTCGTGTTGCTGTTCTGGGAGACGATTGTTGTGATGTTAGTCCTGAGAGGCGGGGATTCAGGTGGGATCAATCACAAGGGGCCAAGGTAGCATGATTTTGGTCAGATCAGCCTGCCTAATCCCCACTTCCCCTGGTATGAACTGCATTGAATACACCAGGAGCGTTGAGGGTGGCGGCGATAAAGAAGGGGATACAGCCAAGGTAGTGATGATACTGGCGACTGGTCGTGTGTTTTACCGCCCGTTAGGTCTATGTGCGTATACTTTCTAGTGATCAATCACGCAAGTACCGCAAGCACGTAGGCATTACTCTGTGATCACCGAGTGCGGTGGTCAACTGCGGGCCAAGCTACATAATGCTGTGCAGCAGATGATCGACGAGTCTTGACCGTGAGTGCCGCCGCCAGCATCCCAAGTGGGCTGAAGTCCCAAGAATCAAATTATATCATCCGGGTGCCCGCAGGTCAAGCACTATATCTGATGCCTCAAGACATCGCCGCTAACACCATTGGTATTGACTTTTAGAGCCTTACGAATACCCATCAATACACTAGCTATGGTTAAATGTTGTCAGCCACTGCATTGTTGGTAGGATAGGAGTTGGTGCTTACTGTCCATCGTCTAGGTTGCCGTGATCATTTCAGGAAACCCGTTAAGGTCAGTCGACGTTTCTGGGTGGACGAGAGGGAAGATGCGTGCATCGTTCCCTTTTGCCTTCGTGGCCTCATGGTTGAGTTACCTGCGGACTTCGTTGACCACTCTAGCTGGGCACGAATGGTTATGTACTATGGAAAGCGTAACTCCTTGGAAGACTTCACTGAGGTCGACACTCAACCTAGGGTTCGAACAGTGGCATGGCAGACGACAGAAGAGAGGCTAGTAATTCCAGTAAGTCCCTTTTCGCTTCATCTGAGCTTGGAAGACATCGATGTATCCAGCGCCTGGTACATTGACTCGGTGGATCGAGGCAGAAGGGATCGTCGTCTCCCAATCACATCTGCAAGAGTTACCGTGCTAGAGGTCACCGGCTTCCGCAATGGTGTAAAGACTTTGGCTGCTCGGCGATATTTGGGGATATGAGCCATCAGCCGCTTCTGGCCGCCGTAATCGTTTTCACTAGATTTCTGTGCTTATGGATACGGTGTGGTCGGAGATGATGTAAAGAATTCTAGCGCATTGTTTTGAGGGAAGCCTCGACGCGCGGACGTGAGAGCGCGTTTGAGTGGGTCGAATTAACGTCGACAGGTAGGGCCAGCAGTTGGGGTAAACAAGCGGGTCAAGGTGAGCTTGGTGAGATTCGGTGAAGGGGGCTTTACCGAGATGATCACCAATTTATCCCACCATGTGGGTGAGCAGAATGGCGGGGTAAGCTGATTGGAGAGTCAACAGCTGTTGCCAGAGAAGCAGACCACACTCTGGCTTGCGATAGTCCCGTCCCGTTCTATTCCGCTTATGCTAGAGGTATGCGGTTTCCCTCATACGCAGGCTCGCTCTACGAGCTGTAGGGGGCTAAGATCCTCGTCAAGAGAGAGCCCAACCACTACCGGGTCATCTGACCCTACTTCCCTAATCAACTCCTATATGGTTTACTCGATTATGCTGTTCATAGAAGTCCACAGGATGCGCCTATTGTCAAGCCTCATCGGTCTATGACGTCTGCCAGTCTCGGGTGGCCTCCTGCATGCGAACCGAATCAACCACTGTGGAGCGTGAACTTGACTTGTCTCGACGCTCATACCAGAAATGTCATGAATGGCTGAAACATGGACTCTGATAAGACGGCGATGCCAGGCCTTGTTCACCCCTCCGACAGGCGCTGCGGCATAGCAAAGTTGGACATTTCCCATACCCTGGGGCTCTTGGGGTTTTTCTAAGCGCGATGGCAACTTTAATCTTCCACCACGACACCCTTATACAATACCGGTGGGGGGCTCCGGGCTTACTTTCAAGGCCTTGAAATGATATTCGGCCAATTTCAACTCACTTTCTACGTGATTTTTCTCTGTTTCGGCTTGTGAAGGGCATTTCTCAATTTTTCTCTTTCAATTTTATAATTTCAATTCCAAGAGCCAATGACCTACTGACTGGGTAACTCACCAACTACAACCAGGATCGCTGTCCAACGCAGAGTTCACCTGAGAGTAAGGCTCGACTTGGGATATTACTCCAACAATTGTAGCAGGAGACGGCTCAATAGAAAATAGCAAATAGCTACGGGCCAACGTGACGGACGAGCTGTGGTAGTGAAAGGCACAGCCTTTGGCCCCTCATGTATGACGCGCAGCAAAGCAACTCGCCCCTTAGTAGCCAGCTATTCAACATTCCGACCATGTCAAACTCTTTCCATCGAGACTCATAGTCGGCTTTTGAGATTGAGAATAATTGCGACCATATGAAAAGTAGAGTGACTACTTACTTATACACACATCACCAACAGTACCAGCCTTTTGTTCAGATATATCGTCCGGTCATCAGGTAGCCAAAGTGGGGCTTGTGATTTCCCCAAATTCATCGTCAGTGTGCCTCACCTGCAAGTGGAAATACTCATTCAGGAAACAACGTGAACCAACGGAACAAGATGGGAAAGAAGTAGATAGACAGAAAGAGAAGAAAACGCGGGCATGCGCGTGACTGGCGAGAAAGAGCAAACGACCAAACGGGACGCGCGACATGAGATGAGAGACAATTGGCTGCAGGATCCCTCCCTCCGCTGCCTGCCGCTGCGCTGAACCCGAACCTGCCTTCACTTCACTTCATCTCATTTCACCTCTCATTTCACCTCTCACTTCACTTCTCACCTTCGCAGCTGCCGCATCAAAACCTCACCTTCTGCCTTCCATAACCACTGATTTGTCAACTTGCAGAAGCTACCTGCTTCATTTTGATTCTTCAAAGTCTGGAGGTCGCGTCTGGACGACGCTCATTCATCACCGCCTCAACCGCCGCACACTCTTCATCATCATTCTTTGGCGTTGGCGACTCATCGACGCAGCTTGACGAATAGCCACCAACGATAATTGTTCCCTATACAGCCTCGATACCGTGAACAGAAACAAGCAGTACGGTGTCGTCGGTGACAGGACCATCAACCAAGATGGCTTTCTACCAGCAACCCCAAAACCCGTATGGGGCCCCGTCCCTCGTCATCGAGCCGACCCAGAGCTACCTCTACCATCTCCGATCAATGGCCCATCGGAAAGACATCCTCATCAAGAGCGGCTTCATCCTCAATCCACTGTCTGAGAGAGATATTGACGATAAGAAGCGATGCCGCAGATGCAACCTCCGCTGTGAGTATTTGTGCATCAGCCGCTCTTCTCTTCCAGACCCCACGTCATTCCTCACCATCGCCATCACGATACTGACTTTAAGGCAGGCTCCAACAACAGGAACAAATTCAAATCGAATGCGAAAGGGCCACACGCCGATGCGAAGTCCTCATCTGTTCAGCCCAAGACCAAAACGTTCACCAGATCTTCTTCCATAGCCGACGAGGAGCCCGAGGGCGCAAGAGGGGACGAGAAGCCCGCAAAGCCGGTTCTTAAGTGTCAGTATCACACCGGCCGCGTCATAAATATGGTAATTTTCCATCTCTTTTCACCTTCATTCCGTTTGTCAAACCGAGCTGACGCCTATAGCGCTGGAACTGCTGCAGAGTCCACGTTTCCGAGCCAGGCTGCACATACGCTCCAGAGCACCTCGTTCGGAACTATCCCTCGGGTGAAATCCACGACCGTCACCAATTCCACAAAACCCCGACTCACGCCCTCCTGAACCTGGGAACTGACACCGTGCCGTCCGCTCAGAGGGCGCCGCGTCTCGCCGTCGCCATGGACTGCGAAATGGGCGTGGCCTACGACGGAGAATCCGAGCTCATCCGCGTCACCCTCGTCGACTACTTCACATCAGAGATCCTCCTCGACAGCCTCGTCTACCCGCAGGTCCGCATGGCGCACTACAACACGCGCTTCTCGGGTGTCTCCCGCCAAGACATGCAGGCTGCGCGATCAAAGGGCAAGTGTATCACTGGCGGGCTGGCCAACGTCAGGGCCGCCGTGTGGGAGTGGGTGAGCGCCGAGACCATTGTCGTCGGACACGCCGTCCACAACGACCTCGCATCACTGCGATGGATTCACCCCAAGGTGGTGGACTCCTTGATTCTCGCTACTAACGTGCGGGCCGAAACTGAGAGACTGGAAGCGGAGGAGGAGGAGAGAGTCAATAAAGAGGCCGAGAAAGCTGCCGCTGAGGCCGCTGCTGAAGCCGTCGCCGAAGGCGGCGTCAACTTGGAGGAAGAAGACCTAATCTCATTTGATAAGCCCGAATCCTTAGAAAAGACCGAGGAGGGAGGAGGTCTCGCCGAGAGGAAGCCCCAGAAGCGCAAGGGCGGCGGGCTCTCCCTCAAGGCGCTGACATCCGAGATGCTTGGTCGTGACATCCAAAAGGGTAGGGTCGGTCACGACAGCCTGGAAGATGCCTTGGCGTCGAGGGATCTGGTGCACTGCTTCGTGGCCAAGAAGCTTGCGGAGTCGGTCCAGGACGGCGGACCAATCATTCCTGGCTTCTGGTAAAGGGGGGGGGGGAGGATGATGGGGCAGATATGCTTCATGCCTATTCTGAATGCATCGTCTTTCCAGTTTCCAGGGTTGGAGAGGCGGAAAATGCGATTACCATGGCACACGGGGCCTCAGGAGTCAAATGGTTCACATCGTCATAGCGGATAGCTAGCATAGCATAGCGAGGAGACAGCGGTTCTATCAAATCAGATATTCTGGGATTCTTCCAGGGATGGACAACTTTTTCAATGCCATTCGCACCTGCGATTCGTTTAGTATGGGCGGGAACGTCAAGTTTATATGAAAAGAGAGAAAGAAATTGCGTACAGGTCGAGCAAATACTTCAATTCCATGTCAATGCTTTGCTAATTTGATATCGCGGCCTCGAGGCCGAACTAACCTTGCCCCCCCTACAGTATGCCGTGTTGCTCCTAATCTCAGAGAGGACAGAGTGAAATGAAACATCCATAGTCTATCACCGACTAATAACAGGTCGATGAGAATGGCCTCTAAACGGCCAACGTGTGTTGATCTCAAGCCTAGCTAGGACTGCCAAAAGGGCCACAACCAAGCACAGCCATCCGCGAGATAGAATACTCTTGTGCTTGTCGCACGCATCCTTTAGACCGTTGCCAAACAATGCCAAAAGGCTACATGGACCCCCCCAAAAAAAGTCCAACCAAGCGTTAAAAAGGGTAACCGATACCTTGCCTGTTCCAAATCCTCTGTGTACCGGTGTTTCCCCGCGCGCTCCTGGGTATATTGTCGTTGCGTATCTCATGCCAGCGTATCATAGTCTCCAACCGCTTCCCCCAAAGGATATACGAGCCTGCTTCAACGCCCTCTCGCTTATCAATGCTGCTGTTGTCCGTTTGGTGTGGTAGGCTCAATCATATCCGGGTCCAGAGGTCCCAGCATAGACGCCTCCATGGAGATAACACTCGCCGGCCGACTGCGATGCGACACGGGGCTCAACATTGACGCTTCCATTGATGCCGTGCTGGCACCAAGTGGTGCGGGTCTCCGATTCGTGTATGCGGGGAAGCCAAGGTTGGTGCCTTGCGGCGAGAGTGCGTTTGCAGTCGATGTGCTGGGTCCGGCACTCGTCGGGGAGTAGTGGCTCGAGATGACCAAAGGCGGCGGGTGATTTGTCGGGCCCCCGGCCGTCGGTGAACGAGTTGACTGCGGAAAGCTGGGGCTGGTAGGGCTGAACAACAAGGGAGCCTGTCCAAGTGGTTGGGCGAACATGGGCACAGCGCCGGCCGGAGGCACATGGTTCGGCGGGGGCGGAGGCACACCGTTTTGGGCATTGCCGTTCACAAGGTTTTGTGCCAACAAGGGCTGACCATCCACTGCCATTTCACTGCCGTCAAGACCTTCAAACTCGTCGTCCTCCGGCACCTCCGCTTCGTCAACTTCAACATCCCCGTTGGTCTGTCCAGCGTGTGCGGCCGTTGCGCGGGGATCGGCGGCTCGACGTGCAGGGAAGCTCGAGAGCCCTGGGAAGCGAGGACCAGGAGAGTCGCGAAGACCCTCGTATTCGGGAGAGGTGTTGAGATAGTCGCGGAGCTTCGTGACGCCGACGCCAGAGAAAACACAAAAGACGCCTCGCTGATGATCCGTGAATTCTGTGCACGTCTTGTTAGTTTATCTGTACACCAACAACGAGGAACGGATATGGCTTACCAGGCGGAGGAGGTCGGCAGAACTCGGCGAATTCTTCTCTGAGGAAAGCGGTGACCCCTGTCAAACTGAGATGGGTCAGGCGTGGGCAGTAGTTGAGCAATTTGATGATGCTCTACGATAATGTTAGTGTGCGGAATCGGCAACTTTACGTGGGGCGACAACATGCCTTGAGTGTAAGGTTGGTGCAGTAGCTGAGATGGACTCTTTCGAGGCTGGACGAATAGTATTCATCAATGTTGCCATGCGCATCGCGGCGTGCCCGGGGGCGATGGTTGGCGCGAGCGAGCGCGAACACGGACTCGTCGGTGATACTACTGCACTTGACGAGACCGATTCTCTTGAGCTTAGGAAGTTGTGCCAGTTTGGTGACGGAGTCGTCGGTGAGGTTAATGCAGCATCCCAGATCAATGTACCGTATACGATTGCATTGCTGCACGAGGCGTTTGACGGCCTCGTCGGTGATATGGCCACAGTGACCAAGGTGCAAATAATGCAAGTTCTTGCCGAGTTTTGAGATGGCATTCACGGCAACGTCGGTGATGTTACGGCACTTGGCCAGCACCAGATTGCGGAGGCGTGGTGCAGCATCAATAATCTTCTGCACCGACTGATCCGTCAGCCTGGCGCAAGATGTCAAGTCGAGAATGCGCAGGTGATCGTAGGTCTTGGCCAGGGGCAGAGTCAAGAAGGCGCTGTCGTCGATGAGCTCACAGCCTGCCAGCCGAAGCTCGCGGAGGGACTGGCCCTTTGAGATGAGGGCAGTGATGGGCTCATTGCCGATCTGAGCACACTGGTGCAAGTCGATTTCGAGGATATTCGGGCAGTTCTCGGCAAATGCAAGGATGGCATTGTCTTGCAGTTGAGCACAATCGTTGAGTTTGAGCTGTTGGAGAAGAGAGTCATGTCAGCGAATGTCCAAAACACAATGCGGGGCGCGAAAGCCAAGCGCGAAGCGCATACAGGCCAGGCCTGCAGGGAGAAAAAATAGGCAAAGGAGCAAGGGAAGCAAAGAGCAAACATACCCTCTTGATGAACCGGCAGTTCTCAGCAAGCTGTATCATGCTGTCGTTGGTGATCAAGCGGCAGCCAGAAATGTTGAGACCCTGTAACCTCTTGCAGTGCTCGGCGATAGTTTGGATAGAGACGTCTGTGATGTGCTCGTCGCCTGAGATGTCAAGGGCAAGCAACGAGGAGCTGTTTTCCACCAACTTGGTCAAGCCCTGGTCGGTGAGGTTGCGGCAGTTGGTCAGAGTGAGTCGCTCGACACGAGTGCACACGGACAGAGGCATGACACTGCCATCGCTGATCTTATCTGCGAGACCACCGGCAGCAAGGTTGAGACGCTTGATGAAGTCGCGGTATGCGAAGAAGGGCGTCTCTAGTTGCAGAGTAAGGCAAATGGACGAATGATTCTTCCAGTTTGTGCAGGCGGGGCGATGCCACAGCAAGTCGACAGAGTTCTTAGCCCATCGCTTGCATGTCAGCATGCAGTTGAAGAGGTCGTTTGAGTTGTTGAGCTTGGCGAAGATGGAGATGAGGATCTCGCTAGGGAGCCGGTTGACAGCGGGTTGGCACGGATCATCGCTAACCTGCATGTCCTCGATGTTGGGGACGCCGAGTGATGATTGGGAATCGTTGCCGGCGATGAAGAAGTCTGACTCCTCATTGTCGGCAGGGAGTGGCGAGTTTGTGGACGACGAGGATCGCGAGTCCGGAGTGGCTGACTGTGTAGCCATGATCTCTATTGAGGGGGCAGCGGGCCTCATGATGGGCGGCTGCGATGTGCGAGCAAGGGAGCAAACGGTCGGCGGATCGTGGATTCGCGTGAATTCGGTCAGAGGAGAGGGAAAGGGGGTTCGGATCCCCGGTTGGAGAAAGTTCGTGGACTATGGCAAGCGATCTCGAGTCGCTAGTCGTAAATCGTAGGCGCCGTTGGTGTTTTTGTCGTCGTGATGTAGTTTGTAGGGTTGTCGGGTTTCGTCAGGTTGGCAGAATGAATGGCGGGGATTTGTCACCAGAGCGAGGGTTGGAAAGGCGAACTAGTTCCCACGAGGCCGATGGAACACTGGAATACTGACACTGACGCCTGACCCACGGAAGGTGGAAATGGAGAGGCTCCGACAGTGGAGGGGGGAGCCGGGACAAGGAGGCAGGCTGACGCTAAGTCTGTTGTGAGTCCGGTACCTCTCTGGTGTGTGTACTTTGTAGTTGTGTGTGTGTCGACTACTGCCTCAGCACATAAACGGGGATGGCAGTACGGAACACAGGCTGTACAGGAGCAAGTACCCGTGCTGGTGCGTTTTGTGGTGCAGGGCGAGGGCGCGGAAGGTATTTTGTGCGACGGAACGGAGTGCCAAGGCAACGGAGAGAAAGAGAAAAGAGTATTCGTAGCAGACAAGACTGCTAGGGAGAGACGAGGGTTATTGTCGGAGACGGCGGCTAGAGGAATAGAATTGTATTCTCGATTGGGATAAGTTGGTCTGAAGTCGTGTCGTCGATGGGAGTAGACTGGAGAGGGAGACAAAGATCAGGTCGAGAGTTCGCGTCGCGAGACAAGAGACTGAAAGGTAACCACGGGGCACAGGGTCGTTGGGTGGCAGTAGGTGGTGCGTGGGCTGCGGTTGCGTTTGCGGTGAATCGTGATTCAGGTTTTGCAGCACCGTCTCTCTCCCTGTTTCTGTTGCAGTGAAGCGAAGCAAAGCAAGCAGGAGGGCCTGAAGTGATGCCGTGCGGTGCGGTGCGGTGCTGTGCTGTGCTGTGCCTAAGCAGTGGGCAGTTCGTGGTGGCAGCGACAGTGACCGACAGGGCGGGTGACAATGACGACGGGGCGAGTGAGGCTAGAGCACCCTGAGCGGCCGTGGTCGCAGGCTCCCAGCTTGCGGATGGGCGGGCGTTCGCGTGTGAAGTGGACTCTGTGTGTCTTGTACGGATACCTAGGCTGTAGCTCAGCGAAATGTTAGCAGTGACTTTGGAGCTGTGGAGAAAGGGAGCGGAGGGATGTGACACCCTTGGGCCAAGGGCCTTGGGCTCTCGGAGGGCTGGCTGGGCTGGGCGGCGGCTGGGCTGGAAGTGGAAACCAGGGGACGGAGGGCTGGGACCTAGGATGTGTGTAGGTACCTTGCTTTTGGGTGGTGCGGGAGGCAGGTCTCTGGTGCTCGACGTGTGTCGCCTGCTGCGTGGAGCTGTTGATGGCGGAGGAAGATGCGGCGGTGATGGGAGGTGGAAGGGGGAGGCTGAAGGCTGGCAGTAGACCGGGAACCTGCGATGCAATGCGATGCGGTGCGATGCGCGGCAACTGGTCGAGCACGAAGTTGACGATGGCTGCTGCTGCTGCTGTTGCTGCGAATACTACCTACTGTATAGGTAGGCTCTGGGGCAGGCGGTGCTTGTTAGGCTTCGTTTTGTGGCACTTGCAAGGGCCGAATCTAGACTTCTAGGAGACTGGAGCATCCGTAGGATAGAATCCAAAGGATGTCGGATCGAGCCGGTCAAGTTCTCTGGGGCGTGGGCGTGGGCGTGGGCGTGGGCGTCATGAGGTAAGGCTGGCGGGAAACCCAACGTTGACGCGTGACCTGCTCCTGTGCCTTGCAGTTGTCGTTCTCCTCTCTTTCCGGTATTTCTGACCTTTCCCGCTTTGCACCCTTTATTCACTTTCTGCTGATGTTGATTTGATTGCAGAGTCCGAGCAGAAAAGGATGCTTGACTTGTTGAAGCAGGAAGAAACAGCAGCAATGCGAAGAGTCACAGTCAAACTTGGGGATGTATCGATGTACTCATGTATCGATGTACCAACCAAATGGAGGAAGTTGTGTTCCGCAAGTTGGGAAGGACCAGACGGGACCAGGACAAGGGACCGGGGGGAGGAATAACAGAGGGGTCGTCAAAGTACTTGTCCACACAGTCACAGTGCCTCGCTACTTCAGTACGTCTTCCTTTCTCATTGAAGGCGACACCATCTCTCATTGGCCGACGGCACAAAAGGGCCTGAGGTTGCGGGATAGGTAGGTGATGATTCTGGAGTTACTTAATTGTGTAGGTACTTCATAAAATAAAATAAAAAGCACATGGTTGCTTTGTAGACTATGGAACACAGCTTCTGTGTTTACTGAACTTCTGGCTCATCAATATACAAACTCGAAACCAGACCACGGGAGACGAGACGATATCCCCGACGTGGAGCGTGGGGCGCTATCAATGGAACATGCCGCTTTCCCAAGGAGCCATGCGTTAATGCGGCTTGTAATGGAAAAGGTTACCTCTAGCCCTCGAAGTACCTCACTTTCCAAGGTACCTTATACTGCCTATCAAGAGACATACAGCATTGTGTCACGAAGTCATAACCAACCAAATATGTTGCAGAACGTGCCTGGCGGAAAGAGCATCCCTATGCAAACCGAATGTCGTACAGCGCGTTCATGTACTCCGTACAAAAACCCTCTACTGTGTATGGCAGGCGAAGCGGTACTCGAGTCTCGCCTACCTTACACTTTACCCAACCTGCGGCATAACTCAATCTGGCAAAGTCCCTTCTTAAAAAAAAAAAAAAAAAAAAAAAAAAAAAGAAAAAAAAAAAGGTACATTCCACTTGCTACGGAAATCACTCGATGAATTGCATTACCGCATTTCGCGCCAACTCCACCAAAATAAGCCCATGGCATTTACATACAATTGCACGAATGGTCCGGGCCAGGGAGACTGAAGCCGTCGCTTGTTCCTGACGCTACGTCAAGGACGGAATGGTCTACAGCCTCTGGCACGTCTTGTCAGTCCCTCTCATTAACAGAGTTTTGGCTGAGTGTACGTAAGGTACTTTGCAGTGCTACCTTGAATCGCGGCATTCTTTCTCGACAGTCGACTAATTTCTCTTTCCTCTATCTTCAGCTCCCTCTGGCCCAGGTCGTGAGTATAGAATGATGTGCCAAGTCCTGACTAAATCTTCCCAGGCGTATGATGATGAAGATGATCATCTCCGAGAGGGAAACGCTTCCACACACATTGGTCAATATTCAGAATACGGCAATACCATCAATGCAACACCGGCCCTCTGGAGCCCACCAGGAACCATGACATCTTGAGCTTGTCGGCCTGCCTGCATGCTTACATCCAACCTAATCTCGTTACCCTGACGTCGGGGACCATCTAGCAACTGACAGCATCCCCCAAAGGCTACCTATCTATCGAGTCTCTGCCGCTCCTCGCCCTTCGCCTCTCGGAGACCAAATCTTCAGCAAATACCCGTGGCGCCATCTTCATCCACGCTCAGACTTGAGCTCGAGCTTCGTCTTCAGGGCACCCAATCTCCATTGCTGCATCTCGGGGCACAGACGCGGGCCCCCATACATTGTGCTCTCAATGACAGTCTCAAGACATTTCCTCCCACCCTCCCTGCCTTATGAGACGGGATGTCAGGGCCTCGGATGCTCGACTGTAATGCGGTCCGCTCTTCCAGACAGCCTAGACAGCTTATCCCTAGCCTAGCTTGTTGTTGCCGTTTCGTGAGGATGCTCTTTTTGAGTTTCCATCTCGGCTTCTTCCTCGATGCTCCTCGAGTCCTCACACTTCAGCACAAGGATGTTGAACATGTTAGGACCAATGTCGTTGGTCTGCTCTGCACCTGATACCGTTTCACTCCCGACCACTCCGGTCTTTAAGGACATTCTCCCACCTGGGTCATCCCTGCCTTGATACCTACAATCCGTAGGGCAATTAGTATCTTGCGGCGACTGCTTCAAAGCATGACGGCTGCAAGACCACTCGTTCAATCACATTGATCTGACGGCATGTCCCGCATGTCACTTGCAAGCATTGTAAAGGGAGACGTCGGACGTCGGGAATCGGTGATTACGATCGCCGAGTTCGCGTCTTCGGTGTGTAGGCCGCGTCGTCTAGTTTCCTCGTCCGTGGTGTCGAGCCTTGGATACGGGAAGATTGGGTGAATGCCAAGCCGGCTTAGACGGGCTTCCACGGCTTTTGGCTTTTCGAATTCAGCTTCGGCGCTCACATACGAGAAGTAGTGAGAGCTCGCAATCGTCGATACTAGGCGCTGCCATTCTCCCATCATCAGACTGGAGGGCAGGTAGTTGGGTACTCGGTCAACGAGGCTCCCGGGCACCCGAGTTCACAGACCTGGAGACATCCTCGAGGTATGGTGGGGTAGGCCGATTGAGTTGGGAATAAGGAATGCTCCCGCAGTGGACAAGAATAGCAACCCCCTCGCGTACCAAAGACAACGTGTGTAGGGTCTGCGGGAGAGGATAAGACGTCGGGGACGACCAGCCTGGCTGGGTCTCACCTCATTCGTCATTCAGACGGGCATCAACAAAGCCCTGCATTAGGTGAGGTTGGATTGGCTTCACCTGGTTGGCGGTGTTGGGTGAGCCTACTCGGAAGGAATATCAGATTGCGACGTCCTCACCATCACAACGGCGCAGTCGCAGCACTCCCGTGGTCTAGCCATCTGCGAGGTTTACTTGCAAGACAGACGCACACTTCCAGTGACAGCCCACACAGCCAGGCCAACGTGTGGGAGTGAGCGGTGGCTTCGCGGTCCAGCGTGATACCGTCACGATCCTGGACGCCATCACGCGTGGGCGCTTAGACGGCCACAGACGAGCGACCACTCAGCTTCGCCCATTTCACATTTTCGGATCACAGACGTGCAACCCTGTTGTGATGTAATGGTGGTCTCTGAGCGCGAGAACCCTGGAAGTCTTAGCATCAAGTCACCGAGTGATTGCAGGATCGGCTGTCATGACTATCGAGAGACTAGATCCTCCTCCTTTGACTTTTACGCATCCTGACCATTCTCGTGGAACAGATGGGCAAATGCATGTGCCGTGTCAGATCGCATCCAACAACCTAGTTCCAACACAACATCCATCATCTCCATTCAGGACATTTCCATGATCTTGTACGCGGATAAAATAGAAAACTCAGAGTCTTCAAATGGCCCAGTCCAGCCCTTGAGACACAGTAAATCAACTTTTACCTTGCATATGTCGCAGATATTAGTAGATGCACCTGAAGCTCTCCCCTCCTTGTGTCCAGGGACTGCGATCTGAGGCGGAGAAGCGGAGGTGGAGGCGGAGTCGGAGGACATCCGCACAGACCACAGCCAAAAGTGAGGGAGCCGCAGTACGTAGCTTTCCTTACCTAAGCAAGACGGAGGACACCGGCACGTGACAGCTTCCCGTAGGACGTCATCCGGAGGGGCCGATTATGCGCCGGCCACTCAGGTGCCTCGCTCGCTGACGTGCTCCAATTTCTCAGGGCATCGGGGGCATTGGATCCAATGGGGATAGCTCCAATTGCCATGCGGTTGACATTGACAATTCCCGACCACAAGCCTCAGGTCACGATCAGACTCTCTCCATTGCCTTCGTAGCTCGCCAGTCTGTGCAAACGAATAGGCCAAATTACACTTGCCCGCATGACCAGGCCATGAATCGTTCTGCCCGACCGGCACCGAAGTCGAATTAGCAAGCCCGAGTCTACAGTTCAAGGTACTGCATCATTGACGGTTGTCCCCGCCCGACCATCCCGCACCATCTGAAGAATCTCGAATCTCCATCAGCCCACTTCCCTTTGTCGACTATTGTTCCTCCACACGGTCCATAGTACCGAGTGAACTCTACCATTTCAACCACAGGCGCAGTGTCGCTCGCCGCCTACACGACTCACACACATACTCGCATACCTAATACTCAGATTCACGCCCTCTACCACAATGTTCCGCCCACGCACTCTCCGGGCCCTGCCCAGGGGTCTGCCGCACCCGCAGCCACCCGTCCGAACTAGTCGCCGCACCCTCTTCTCTCGCCAGCGCAGCTCGCCCTCCCGCCCCGTCGAGCGCTTCAACCTCGGCCAGCTGAGCGAAGCCCGCTCCAGCTACGACCGAGACCGCACATACTTCCTCGCCGCCGGTGCCCTCGCCGGCATCGTCTCGTTTGCGTACACGGCCAACAAGCTCCGCAAGGCCCTCGCCGCCGAGAAGAAACGCAACGCCGCGGAGGACACCGGTAGCAGCGACAATGGCAGCGGCAGCAACACGAGCGAGCGCGCCAGCTTCCAACTCGATTCCTCTGTGCCGGCAGAGACCTTCACCACCGAGGCCGGCACCAAGCGCAAGGTCGTCATCCACGACGAAGACGGCAGAGAGCTCGTGCCGACGGGCAACAAGACGGTGCCCAACTTCCCGCGGACCATTGACCTCTCCCTAAGCAAAACCCACCGCGACCCGGAAGCGCCCATCGCCGCGACGGTGCAGGACACGGACGGCGTAGAATACACCCTCGTCGGCCTCGGCATCCGCACCGTCAGCTTCCTCAGCATCCAGGTATACATGGTCGGCTACTACGTCGCCACCCAGGACGTCGCGAAGCTGCAACACTACCTCACCAAAAAGATTAACCCCATCGCGACGACGCTCGTCCCCTCAGAGCGCGACAGCCTCAAGCAGAAGCTGTTCGACCCCGTCGAGGGCGAGGAGACGTGGACGGCGCTGTTGCAGGAGGTCGGCACCCGCAGCGCATTCCGCATCGTCCCCGTGCGCGATACCGATTTCCCTCACCTCCGTGATGGGTTCGTGCGAGCCATCACGGCGCGGTCGTCTGCGGACAAGGAGGCATATGGAGATGAAGCGTTTGGCGAAGCGATGAAGGAGTTTAAGAGGCTGTTTAACCGTGGCAAGGTGCAGAAGAACAAGGAGCTGTTGCTCTGCCGTGATGAGAAGGGCCAGCTTGAGGTCGTTTTTGATGATGGGCGGAGCATGGGCAGGCAGAGCGTCGGCAGGGTGCAGGATGAGCGCGTGTCGAGGCTGCTATGGCTCAACTGGCTTGCGGGCAGCAAGGTTGCTTCGCCGCCGGCGAGGGAGAGCATTATCGATGGCGTCATGGAGTTTGTCGAGAGACCTGTCGGTACTGTTGCCGCGCAGGTTGTGTAAAAAATGGGAATGAAGAGAAATTTGTAGAATTAGTTGAAAATAGTCACGGCTCAAAATGTACAACAAACTAGACGAGGTCCTCGCTAAAAGCAAGGCCAATGTCATTTCTTGGAAACTTGTATTTTGAGAGTCTAAGCACCCATCTTTGTGCCTTTAAGCCCATGGTATATCATCGTCCACCATTCTCACTCCCACCGGGTTGAACGATTCTGCAGCAACAGCTACAACTTGGACGGCCTTGAAGTCGAGCCGTCAGCGTGTTCTGTGCTGTATGCATTCTCCAACCAGTTTCTAATCAAACACACAATGTCTGCCCCCTCTTTCTGTCTTTCTCTCTGAACCGAGGACGAAAGTGGGTGCCTTACGCCTTGAGAGCGCCGGCCTCCTTGAGAAGGTTCTCGAGCTTGCCGCCCTTGAGCAGGCCCTGCAGGTCCGAGTTGCCGCCAATGTGCTTCTGGGCGATGAAGCTGTTGGGGACGGTGCGCTGGCCGGTGATCTCGTGGAGGGCGTCCTGGATGGCGCTGCCGTCGTCTGTATTGGTGTCAGTAAGTTGTCTGGGTGCTAGTGTTGGTAGGTGAATGGGAAAGACTAACCAATCTGGTCGAGCTCGAGGACGGTGTAGTCGGCGTTGATCTCGTCGAGGACGGACTTTGTGGCGCGGCAGTAGGGGCAGTAGGACTTTGAAAAGACGACGACCTTGTTGTCGTCGATGAGGGACTGAACCTTTTGCTTGGTGGCGGCCATGTTTGCTGGTGATGTCGAGGATGAGGAGAAGAGACGTCTGAATAGTGATGCCATTTCGGAGGGAGAAGAGTCGTGGAAGGAGGGGCAGGGGCGATGATATAATAAAAGTGCAGCAGGCGACGGGGAGGGACAGAAGGTGGGGGGTTATTTGTCAGGCAAAGTGTCGCAATGCAGCAGGTAGGGGCGGGGTGCTGGGTGCTTGTGCTGGTGCTGTGCTGGAGCTGGATGCGGTTCAGTCTAGTTGCGACGGGGACGGGACTTGCAGCGAAGGGAAAGGCAATTCGGGGCCGAAGGCGGCGGGAGTGGATGATGCAATCGGGACTCTGATTACCTAAGAGGTAGACTGTGAGGTTCCAGACTGTGACACAGCTGGCAGCAAAAGCCGAGTTTTCTAGAAGGTGGAGGTCACAGAGTTTAGTGTAACCGTACAACCGTGGTGTGGCTTCCAAATTTCGATACCTTTGGGAGCAAAGACCCGATTTATAAGACACCGGCTCTCCCGAAGCTCACCTGCCTCGGCGTGTGTTACACCTTCTACGTACCCGTAGGTGTACTGAGGTTTGTCAGCTTTGTTCGGGCTCTTGAGAGCCACCCGTCGACAGCGAGATTCTACACCGGAGATGATTTGATGACCTCGGCGAAGAAGAGAGATGCGAAGAGGCTAATTCAAAATGGGCAATGAGCTCACCTCAGCACCGGAGAGCAAATGGAGGTATCAGAGACAGGCTTGTGCCTCGAGTACCTAGGGTCTGTCGTAAGATGAGGTAAGCATTAAGATAACCGCCCTGGGATGAGGATAAGATAAAGATAAGAGGACCCTGGATTTCGGTGCATCTCGTGTTTCTGTCAATACCTAGGTACCTTAGGTAGGTACTCTACGTAAGGTACCTTCACGAACACCACCATCTTTCTGTGGTTAAATGAAAACATGAGTGCACCCAAGATTCCACATGGGAGGCTGAGGGAATGAGGCTATCATACCCAAGTTGGGGGATCGATCTATCCGCATCACCCACAACTATTACCCGCGTCTAGCGCCTGGCCGCATCCTCGGGCATCCTTACAGCGCAGCACACGTCTCGAGGTTCATGATGACTGCCCGGTACGGAGTACACGGCAGGTAAATGGGTCAACGTTGTGGACGGGGCATGGCTGCTGGGTTGGGTTTGAAAGTCAGACGGGATTATTCCCGGGTCCCTGCAAGTATCGGCTGCTCGCCGAATCGCAGCCAATTGCTGATTCCGCCTGCCCCAGTTGTCGTTGTGCAGAGAATCCTCGAGGACTGGTGAGAGTTACCTAAGTATTTGCAAACACCAAGCCATTCCCAAGCAGGCTTCGTGTCCTCTTTGCCGCAGTTTTGCCTAGACAAGAAACTATTTGAAACCTTTATCAACTGGTCCTTCTCAACCTGATATCCAAACCATTACCAGTCAGCGAGTCCCTGATAACCAAAGTAACAAAAGGTACGTCTATCTATGTATCGTGACAGCTCAAAGCGCAGAAAGGACCCGTGGCACCGTCTCTCGGCCCGGCCAATGACACCGGGTCCTTCCTCGGCGCGCATCCCCGTCATTCGCTGCCTTTGCGACCTGCCAGGTTTTTTCTAGAACCTCCCCTCCACATCCACTTCCACGCTTCACCATCGCGCAACCTTACGCAACACCATCACTTCCGACCACTCACCTCTCGCCGTCGTCCCCAACTTTCTGCCGTCATCCTCTCCGAGTCCCGTAGGGCCACCTTTGACACACAACCACTCCTCAAGCAGGCCACACTCGCTCACTCGCTCGCTCACCCAGAACCGGACGCTTCGTCGCATCCCTGCCCGCCGCCCTCATCATCGCCTCTTCGCCCATCCACCACCCACCAGAACCCCAAAAGCTGACAGCGCATTGCCTTCTTTCCAGTCCTGCTTCTACAGCCTCACCAAAGCCAACGAGCCACCACCTGGATCCTTGACCCAGGCTGGTGATCGTCCACGCCAGTTGGAGCCGGATCGAAACTCTCGACGACCCAAGCAGCCAAGCACCCGAATCGAACAGAATAGAACAGCTCGTCTTCTTTTATCTTTATTTTATTTCCCTTTACCCCACTGCTTCTGCAGCCTTCTTCTCTCTTGGTGCTGCTGCATTGTGTCGACTCCTTTCCCTTCCAAGGACCTTACCAGAGCCTGCGCCGTACTTGCGCCGTACTGTACGACCTGCCTTGCTGCAGAACGGCCTGATCTTCGAACCCCGCGAGTCGGAAAATTCCAGACGAGGGCATCCCCACGGCACCCGACGCCCACGATCAACATTTCACTCCCATCCGCCACGATACCAATCACTGCTGTCGCCTTCGACCTTGCCTCACTTCACCTCTTCTCTCCTCCACCCCCTCCCCCTCCTTCTCATCCACTTTTTTCTCTCTCCCGGTTCAGCGTCCTTAGCTTTAAGGACCGCCTACTCCCGCCAAGGTGGCTTCCAGTCAGCCTCTTCTGGCATCTTCTGGTGCACTCCAAAACATCACCGCCTTGTTACCCACCACCCTCCAGGTCTATCTCGACAAGTCCATCGCCAGCCTAGCCAAAGCTATCGCCAACTACTCCGGATACATCTCCGACACCACCGGCATCGATCCGAACCTCATCCTCTACTCCACCATTGGCTGCATCCTTCTCGCAGTCCCCTTCACCATGTCTCGATACGGCTGGTCGACAAATCGGGAACAAATATCCCCTTACGGCTCCACCCTCAGCGGTGTTCCCGACGTTACGGACGAAGACTTTAGCTACATCACTACAGAGGACCTGCAGTCAACCTCTCTTGGTAGCTCTGTCCCGACGAGATCTTACGCCCACAACCCCCGATCCCGAGGCAGCGTCCCCGACGACGACATTCTCCTCATCAAGAACAAGGGCATCACCTACCCCGCCCACTTCCCCGCGTATGCCATTGGCGACGGCAAGCTGCGCGTCCGCGATGTTCGGGACCGAGTAAGCGTCCTGCTGGAGCTGTCCGAGAGACGTGGACGCCGCGTCAAGCTTCTCTACAAGGGCCGCCAGCTCAAGGAGCCCGCTGCGCCCGTCCGGGATTACGGTGTCAAGAACAACAGCGAAGTCATGGTGGTGCTGCCCGAGGGCGAGGTGGACGCTGAGAGCAGCGACGACTCGGACGAGGAAATGGTAGTTGTAGGTGGCGATGGCGGCAGCGCTGTGGGCAGCAACGGCGGCACCGATGACGGCAAGAAGCGCCGTGGCAAGAAGAAGGGTCGCAAGTCCAAGAAGCGAAGCAGCAACACCAGCCCGCGGGATAGCGCATCAAATCTCGGCGTCCCGGGTCAGGAGAGACAAAGCTCGCCCTCCCCCAGCAAAGCCCACGGGCCTCACGCCAAGCTCGATGCCATTGCAGCAAAATTCGAGGCGGATCTTCGCCAGCCTTGTGAGGACTACATCGCCTCGCCCCCGACAGACCCCAAGAAGAGAGAGGAGGAGCATCGCAAGCTGTCTGAGACGACGATGCAACATGTGCTTCTGAAGCTTGATGAGGTCGAGACGGAAGGCGACCAGGACGCCAGAATGAAGAGAAAAGCCTTGGTCCAAACCGTTCAGGATGTCCTGAAGCGCCTTGACGCGAGGCTCAAGGCATAAAAGAAGCGAATTGGGGCGTCATTTGGGGGGTGCCTGCTGTTTCTGCAATACGTTTGTTTACTAATAACGGCCTACTTCCGTTGAATTCTTCTAGATGAGCATTTGTGGAGGGTTTCTATTCAGTCAAGCTGCATGTTTTATCAAAGCGAGATTTGCATCTAGAGGCATGCCGCGTAAAATGGCGGATGCGATGGGCGTTAGGGACAGCTTAAGATGGGATGCTGTACAACGATGGCCATTGCTTGAGCCGAAGATGATGCTAGGCAATGGGGAGCAGAGACGACGAGCAGAGGCAGAGACAGACAGAGAGGCGCATAGCACGCCGTAGACAGGAACTGCAAAAACAACCCAAGTATACTGGGATCTTCACTCCATCCATTGCGCACATGATGCATACGAGCACAGCCTTCCAAGTCCTGGACCTGGAACTGGATCTTGGAATAGCCGCATTCTGTCATTGAAGCAGGGCTGCAGCGTGACGTTGTCGACGAGGTCCAGTCGTGGGGATATCCCGGTCTCCCGTTTGAACAATTGTGCCATGCTTGACGTCGTTGGCTTAGTCAACGGGTGTCCTTATCTCATGTGACAGAGAGGCCGTTATCGATTAATCCGGTATCGGGTGTCATTTCCTACTCGGCCTGGGGACAGAGAGAGGCCCGGTGAATGGAAGCGGCAGTGACAGACGTGGGCAAGGTGAGTCGTCGATTGGGGTCTGGCCGCCAGCGGATGCCCCGCCACATACCTTACACCGAGTTGAGACCGCACTGAAAAGCCAAGGTGAGTCAGCAGAAACCTAACGCTGTGGGCACTGGAAGCGCTGAGAGGATACGCGCCTTCTGGTAGGTCTTTGCAGCCCTAAGCTGCCTCAGGCCCCACTTCCAACCCTCGCTTGTGATGGAGACTGCCTTGCCACAAAGGGCTAGCGTCATTCATTTTCCTGGCGTGCCATTGGGGGGTTTTGTGTGTGCGTGTGTAAATTTCTCATTGACCTGTCTGTCCCCTTCCCAGTTGTGTGCCCGCCCCGATTTCAAGATTGTCGCGACGGCTTCTTCCAAAACTCACCCTCCGACAATACTAACCCAACGGCAGCAGACCAAATCTCTACAGAGGCACCCATTCCGCCCAGAGATTTGAATCCCCCTTTTCCTTCTTTTTTTCAGCAGAACACCGCGAACCGGTGTTTTTAAAGGAACAGGAACGATGTCTTCTTTCGAGCCGGTGGTGAGTCTTTGCCGAATTATCTTTTGGGGTTCCCATTTCGAGATATATGGGAGCCGCGGAATATCGACGATGAGGAATTTCGGGATACTTGTAGGAGCGAGGAACACCATGCGATGGAACAATGGCACTTGACTGCAGCCCGTCTTCACGTCAACGCTGCTTCCGCTATTTCAGCTCGCCGCCGCTGTTGTCGCCGGCGCTTCAACAGTTAATCCCGAACCTTCTCATCGGCCGACCGCGAATACATTGTTGGAGATGCAGATCGCTGACTCCAGCCCTCTCTACAGGTCGTCATCGACGGCAAGGGCCATCTCCTTGGTCGTCTTGCCTCCATCGTCGCCAAGCAGCTTCTCAACGGCCAGAAGATCGTCGTTGTCCGCACCGAGGCCCTCAACATCTCTGGCGAGTTCTTCCGTGCCAAGCGTATGTCGACTCTCTCTCAACCCTACCCCCACCGGTCGCAACACCCAGTCTGTCAAAAGAGGAGGAAACACCACTGGGAACATGCAAAGACTTGCGGTGCCGACAACCCGAACCGATCGAACATATACTGATGAATGGCTATAGTCAAGTACCACGCCTACCTGCGCAAGATGACCCGTTACAACCCGACTCGCGGTGGTAAGCCAACACACATACACACATATACATCCGGGCTCTGCTCTGTCTCCTAGCTGAGATACTCAACTCGAGGACATTCAAATGTCTGACTTGACCGCTATAGGTCCCTTCCACTTCCGCGCCCCGTCGCGTATCTTCTACAAGACCGTCCGTGGCATGATCCCCCACAAGACTGCTCGCGGTGCTGCCGCTCTTGAGCGCCTCAAGGTCTTCGAGGGTGTTCCCCCTCCCTACGACAAGCAGAAGAAGATGGTCGTCCCCCAGGCCCTCCGTGTCCTGAGACTGCAGCCCGGCCGCAAGTTCTGCACCGTTGGCCGTCTCTCCCACGAGGTCGGCTGGAAGTACCAGGACGTCGTTGCCAGGTATGTTCCTGCGAGAATACCTCGTTGGTCCCTCCATACTGACAAACCCCCAGACTCGAGGAGCGCCGCAAGGCCAAGGGTGCTGCCTACTACGAGCGCAAGAAGGTCGCTCAGCGCCAGCTCACCGACGCGAAGAAGAACGCCAAGGTCGACCAGAAGACGGCGCAGGCCCTCGAGGCCTTCGGCTACTAAACGTGGTCGACAAATCCCTTTTCGACGTCGATTCTTTTCGGACCTGGCCCTATCTTGAGGGAAATGGAGGAGGAGAGGAGGAAAGGCTTTATCCCCGTTGAGCCGCCACCATACCCACCACCAACACCCACACGATAGTCCGACCAAAAATGAAAAGACTCGGAGGGTGATTTCTCGCGCATTTCTGTCCTCTTCCTCGGGTTTCCTCATTAGATTGGCGTGGGCGGTTCACAAGGGAAATTCTTCATTTTGCTGATGGCACAAATGGGCTGGTCATTGGAAGGGGGGAATTCAAAAATAAGAGATGATTTTGGGGGGCCCAAACGAGAGAGAAGAGAGTTTTTATGGAGTGAGTCCGAAAAGGCTTCGCTTTGCAAAATCATCATCATCCTGTTCAATACCCCCCCGCGCCGCCGTTCTCGGTGTTTTCGGTAAATTCGGTTCAACCACCAAAAGCACACAAATACGCACCAACCAAAAACCCCCTTTTCTCGCAATAAGTCACAACACAAACACTCAATCAAGATGATTCATGTCCAAGGGCATTTTTTATGGTGTACTGTGTCTTTTTAATGGTGGTTGCCGTAAAAAGATTTCGGGTTTTTGGCTTTTTGAATTATATGGGAATTGATATCACACACTTCAACAACATTCATCCTATCGATCGATGGCCTCCCCAGTCTCATCCTTCTTTTTTTTCAAATCCCCCACCACCCCCTTCTCCAGGGTTTCCCCCTTAGACGAACAACCCGTAGTCCCAGATGAGGCGATATTCGAAGAAGAGCAGACGGAAATCGAACGAACAAAAAAGAACTATGAAGAAGAAAAGTATACCACGGCATTTTGGGAGGGGAACCTTGGCGAGGCGTCTTGTGCTTAGAGAAGTAATTGCATTACAATCATGAAGACTTCATGTGAAATGATGATATCAAGTGACGATCTAAGTATGCTGATCAAGTGAATACTACGATCTTCCTTGCTCAAAGGTCGCGAGAAAGTGAAATGATCGATGACGGAACATCGAGGAAAGCAACCTTCCGTCGCACTCAAAAGAGGGTTCCACGCGCGAATCTTAAGCACTCTCATCTCAGGAGTGCAGATTGAATATTGGCGAACCCGCGACGGCACTTAGTAAACGTGACATGTTCGCGACAAGACGCGTTAGTGTGCCCTATCTTATCCCAAGTCCTAAGAGACCCGCCGCCAATTCACGGCACAATCTTATCGTCCGAGGGTCCAGCTCGGTGTGCCCCAAAACTCACATGGCGAGGCTCCTGTGAAAATCGAGGCGGAGTAGCTGTTTGCCCGAGTGACAGGCTCTTCTCGTAGACGTGGGTTCCGGCTGCAGCTGCAAGTCATGAGCCGTTCGCTGATTGACGGCCCTTGAACCCTTCAGGTGAGGTCATCGAGCGGCGCCGAGGTCAACGCGCAGGCCAGAAAGGAGGACGGCCCTCTTTCGGGTGAAGCCTCTCCTTACGCAGCGCCACCAGGAGCGCGCGCTACATGAGTGCCCCCCAGACATCTCACATCCACAATGGGCGATTGGTTTAGTGGTATAATGACCGCTTAGCATGCGGTAGGTCCTGGGTTCGATTCCCAGATCGTCCAATCTTTTGGCCTTCCCGGCGGTTATGTCATTTTTTGACAATTGTCCTGTAATGCAATTGTAATCTGAAATTTTCCTAAGTGAGAATCGAAGTTTGTTGTATCTTATTGCGTGTATTTGTCCGCTTTTTGTTCACTTGCTCTGAAGGAAGCAGGTGTCGTTTGTGCTTGCCAATGCGAGGCTGAGTGGGCTGGGTGCATGTTTGTGGTCCGTGCTTCGACTTCATGTCAACATCAAGACGCGCCTTGAGTTGCTCAATAAGTGCCGTTTCTTCATCATACCGCAGGAATTTGATCGTTAATTAAAAGATAACGGGTCTTCAGGCCGAGGGCTTCTCAAAGAGACACAGGAGATGGTGTACAGAGACATACAGCCCAAGATGACACAAAAGACTGAAAATTCCTTGTTTTCTCATTTGAAACCAACAGATCAAGGTTATAAAAAGGACGAGTAAGTCACCATGATGAGTTTGACCTTGGTATTCATCGTAGAACTGTTTCTTGACGCGTTTCAAATATAATGAGGGACTTTGTTAATGTTTTCTCGCATGCAGAGAGTTCGAGGAGGCCTCGGCGGTGGTCGCGAAACACGTCAGGCTCCTGCGGGAGTACAACCAGATCAAGGATGTGGGGCAGCAGCTGATGGGCATGGTTGCCGAGAAGAGGGGCGTCACTGTGGGAAGTCTGTATGAGACTCGGGAATTTGGAGTTGGATCGAAGGATTGAGATGGGGATGGTCTATGAGGGGTGTCCCCGTTGAGTGGTCGTCCTGCCGAACCGGGTGGAGGAAATTTGCGGCCGACTGTGGCTGCTGCTGCATGCAGCATGAAACAGGTACGGCTTATGGGAACTAGATTGTTTTCGAAACAAAGAAGATGAACTCTGCGTCTGATATGATACTGTCAAGGTCTACCGTGACGTGAGTGTTAACGCGCAGTGCGACATAATCCTAATATCATCGCTGATTCCGGAGAATTTTGAGCCCAGAGAAGATATTTGTGACTAATGACGTAGAATTGAATTGAGAACAAAATCATGAGAGGAGAGACGACAAGGAAACCTAATGAAATGAAGGTGTCTCCGATGGGAAACGAATATACTTCTCCAGCCAGTCGTCGCTATTACCCTCCCGACATTGATCATCGTGTAAACTGCAAATATCAGCCCTGCACAACGCTCCATTAACGTCTGAGTAGCCAGTGCCTGGAATGCCTTGCAAGTCCAGCGTTCCTCCGCCGGAGAGCATTTCTGTGTTATCAGCCTTGCTGTCTTGGATCGACTTTTCAATCTCTGACGGCAAGGTCAGGTCATCGGGCTTCGCTGGTTCCCACCCAGTTCCGCTTGCCGGCGTCATGATCAAATCGGCTTCCACGTCATAAAATCGAGGACTGTATTGATATCCATCAATCTCTGAAGAATCGCGAGCAATTCTGACAAGTCCTTCAAAAAAATGGTCGCGGTGGTTGTACGCCTCGTCAAACAGCTCCTGATCAGCTCTATCCCATCGTCGGAAGTTACGCAACAACCTTTCAACGGCGGGGCGCCCTCGTCTCCGCGCCAATACGACAGCCCTGACGTACTGCAGACGACCATTTCCTTCAGTTGAGACACCGGAGTCAAGGAGAAGCTGTACGATGTCCAGCCTACCATACTCTGACGCTCCTTCTAGCGCAGTTCGTGTGTATATTGTTCCACCTGGGATGTTTGGATCTGCATCTAAGTCCAGCAATCTTTTCACAGCGCCAAAGAAACCCCTCATAGCTGCCTCTGTCAACGGTGGATAACAGTGAAAGTCCCGATGGTACTCATTGACATCGGCACCCATGGCTACAAGAGCCTCCAGGAGGTTGATATTGCCGGTAGTGGCAGCAGCTCTGAGGGGTGTTCCATAAAATCTGTCGCTCTCGGGCCAGTGCACGGTGCTGATTCCAATTCCAGATGCAAAGTACCAGTCTATGACCGCGGTAGACTTCGCAAGAATAGCTCTTGTTAGAAGAACCCTGTCCAGCATGGCTCCACTTCCTTGTAGGAGAGGGAGAATCGCCAAGGCGTGTGAATTCTCAGACACAACAGAGCAATCTGTATTGAAACGATGACCATGACGCAATAACATTGTGACGCACTGGGGTGATGATAAGAGAGCATAAAAAGTTGCCGGCTGCTTCTCTAGGTAATGCCGTTCTGTGTCGTCAATCGCTTCAAGGTATTGCTCCTCATATCGCTGCACAGGCTTTGAGATCTCATAGGGTTTGTAATGAAGTGCAAAGATGATGGAGTCACATCTTAGAGACGCGTAAGTCAAATGATGAGGGCATAATCCTGTCTCCAGAATTTGATCAGCCACATCATCAATCCCAAGTCTCATTGCAAGGCACATCGCTGTCCCCAGCCAATGTTCTTCGCTAGCCGAGATGTGGGCGATTTTGCTCAGCTCTAAGAGTTTGTGAAGAAGGGTCCTGTTGAATGTATATAATGCCATATACACAGCTGCATAGACTGTCCTCGTTGAAAACTTGTTTGTGTCTAGTGAAGCTGTTATTTCTAGAGCCAAACGAGAGTTCCGGACCAGTATCGCAGCTTCAAGAGGGGACAGCTCATCGGAAAGGCTTGGTGCATTATATGAAAGCCCACGGGCAAGTATTTGCCGTGTTGCGGAGACCAGGCGGGTTCGGATCGAAATTACTAGCTCTTCTCCGAGCAACTTTGCTCCGCGAGAGAGCAGGAACAAGGCATTTTCTTCACTGCCGCAAGACAATGCTGCTTGCAGTGCAGTCCTACCCAATTGGCCCACAAGCAGCACTTGGGAATAGCCACGCGATATTGTGACATGACGCCTTCGGTAACAGCGAGGGCCTCCAGCGTAATCTCCTGCAAAAGGTTGGCAGAAGTTGACATCGGCACCGTGGTCTAGCAAGAGTTTGATGAGTCTTGAATCGGCACTTGCCGCGGCGCATTGAAGTGGCGTAGTGAAAACGGAAGAACCGAATTTGGTGACAGGGTTTGGTAAAGCCCCAAGCTCCAAAAGATGTTCGCACAATGAATAGTTGTTCCTGGAAGCTGCGACCCCTAGGACCGACTCTCCCATGAAGTTCATGTAGTTGAGACAGCCACGGTGCTTCGTAGCCCATTCAAAGACGAACTCACTGCTAGTTTTGACAGCAGTGATGAGAAGTTGAGCAAATGAGGTAGCACTCTTGAATTTCGACTCAAAGAATTCCAGGACAAGCTCTGTAGCAGAAGAGTGAGCTCTTGACCCAAGTTCGTTCAGAAGGACGCGGGACGCGATCTCGTCATCTTCCTGGTATCGGTAGAAAGACAGTACCCATCTCGTCATGGTACCGAGTGGGGATTCACGAACGACTCGGGCTGGGCGGAGCGTTCCCATCCAAACAATCCGAAGCATTTCAAGGTCGACTGAATGGCTGCGCGCGCCGAATTTCGTCAGGAGCTCGACCATGGCGATATTGAGCGTATAGACAGCCCAATGGATTGCTCTTAGACAACAATCGTGAGCCCTCATGGATGTAGGTATAGGTAGGGCGTACAGAGGAAGGTTGACATCTGTCCCGGCCAAGGCCAGGGACTCGATGGTAGCAAGGTCTGAAGCTAAAACCGCTTTTTCGAAGATCTGACATAACAAAGCCTGGAGGCTGATTGGAAGACTATTGGATTGGCGTGATACGAATAGTCTCCAGGTAGGGATATTTCGGAATATTGTCAAAATTGCTTCATTGATCATGTCTCGGTCGTAAAGTCCTTCGTCTAAGTAGTTGCAGAAACCGTTGGATAGAAGAAAGAACATGGCTTCTAAGGCGTCGGGGCTTGCGCACTCGGAAGGCGAGCTTTGAATGAGACTAGTTGCTCTGAACGCATGATTGTCTGTCGTTCTCTCAGGCATCAGAAGGTAAAGGGTATGAAAGGTTTGCTGAAGGGTTGGTGTGTTATCCAGCAGTTGTGTCCTCCGCGAGGTAATGCGACCCAGTTCTCTGCCTACAAGAATTGTGGCAGATGGGAATTCGGTGGTTTGCATGGGAATATTGATAGTCAAAGCTGCTTATACATAGGTCAGAAATTGAGGGAGGAAGTGGCTCGAGTTGTAAGGTGAACGTACAGCTCAACAGTTGTTGGCACTGCAGCCAAGGAAGATTCTTGATGGGACAAGAGTGTCGAGTTTCTTGAGTAGGCGATGGAGTTCGAATGATCAGTGGTAAGTCACTAGGAAACGATGGCATGGTCAAAGCTGGCAAAGAAACGGTGAGAATGAGTCTTTACAAATAGGAGGAGCATAGGAAACGATTCTCGTCCTGCTTGATCCATCTCTGAGACCCCAGAAGGCGAAAGTGCTTACATGGGTTGAGCCTCTCAACAAGTGATGTATGGCAGTGCCGAGCTCTTGCTTTCTCCACTGCCGCAGGTCTGAGGGGAATTCCAGAGAGATAAAGACTGGTCTTTTTGCCTCGGCTCAGTCGCTCGCGGATCCGAAAATCGACGCACTTCCATTGCAGGGCGCTCATGTTCTTGACCATACCCCACTGCTTGAGTTTCCATTCCAATTGAGCTTTGCTGTGGGAACCTTAGTGCCCCAATTCTTGACCGTCTTCTGTATACTAGGAGATTCCTCAGTGGAACAACTTACCTTGCGTGAAGATTGTGCAATGTTTCGAGTGCTGTCAATACGAAGCTCAGCGCCATATCTTCTTGTAGATACAGTCGTCGAATGGAGGGCTTCACCCGTTCCCACTTTGCCTCGCTGATCACGGCCTGCCGTTGCGGACGAGACATTTTCAACATAAATAAAAAACACAGTATGTAAGGCTTTTGGTGGAATAGATATGACAAGTTTCTTCCTTTGATCTCAGTCTGTAGCAAAGAGACAGTTCAGATATCGCGAACTGAAAAGTCAAACTCTTATATCCAGCGAAAGGAGCTGGTGAGAACTCAGGTTTGCACGATTAAGTGCAAGAAGCAATATGCAGATTATACGCGACTGTTGATTGGGCCGTTCCGAAATCCGATCCAGCTTCACCCCGCCGCCTGCGGCGTCAAGCAGATGTTGGTTCTGAGCAGCTCGGCTGTGATTGGGCACTGCCAAAATCTGGTTCAGTGTAGACCCTGGGCCAACCTGGTCTCGGCGAGTAGAAAATGCAGGATGAATGCACTTTGATGCTCGCTGGCGCATTTCCTAGAGCCTGCCGAAACAAGTCATCATGTCCAATACCTATATTCATAGTGTGGACATCCCTCATTGGGGGTTGCCTATCTCTGACTGAACCTCTGTCACTAGTGTCGCTCATCGCAGATTCAGACATTACGGACCACCCTTGTCTGTCGCGATGCTTGGACGAGGCGGCTGGAACGTCTCTTGTAGTATCAACGACCAGGTACGCAAGGCAGTGAAGTGTGTGTGTAGGCATTACAATATTATGTCGTATTTCTCAAGCGTAACCTTCGCCGAGCCCTGTCTAAGGCACCCCTTTCACTGACTATCTATTTGGACAACCAGGCAATAAGCGCGTCATGGAACTCCTCCGGTTGAGAAATCTGAGGCGCGTGGCCAAGCGTGGGGAAGGTGTGAAGGGTCGCGTTGGGGATCTGGGCTGCCACAGCAGGACCGAGGGCAGCAAAGTTACCAAGCTTAACGGCGACATCAGGAGGAGACCACTGCTTTCCGATGGCGGTGTTGTCCTTCTCGCCGATCATGAGCAGAGTGCGGGGCTTGACGAGAGAGAACTCGTAGCTGACGGGCTGCGTGAGGACGAGGTCGACGATCTGGGCCTGGTTGAGCGCGTAGGTGTCGGCCTTGGAACCCTTATAGATATTGACCAGCATGTTGACCCAGGTGTCGTACTCGTCCTTCCACTCTCCGACGTAATAGGTCGCCTGCTCGTATCCCTTGATAGAAGCGTAGGAGCTGGCGCGCTCCGTCACATAGTTGTCATCGATGGGCAGGTAGGGGACGCCGAGTGCCTTGTAGTCTTCGAGGCCGACGGGGTTGACAAGAACCATCTCGTCGACCTCATCGGGGAACATCAGACCGTAACGGGTGGTGAGCATACCGCCGAGGGAGTGGCCCATGACGGTAGCGCTCTCGATGCCAAGGGTCTTCAAGAGGCCATTGGTGCTGGTCGCGAACTGCTGCAGAGAGAACTGGTAGCGCTCAGGCTTGGACGACTTGCAGAAGCCGATCTGGTCCGGGGCAATGACGCGGTAGCCGGACTGAGCGAGGACGCGGATGGTGGTCTCCCACGTCGGGCCGCAAAAGTTCTTGCCGTGGAAGAGGACGGCAGTCTTTCCATTGGGAGCACACTTTGGCTTGATGTCCATGAAAGCCATCTCCAGCTCCTGCAGCTGGGAGGTGAACTTGTACAACTTGACGGGCCATGGGTAGGTGAAGTTGGAGCCGTTGAGGTCTTCGGGGAAGGAGTCGGAGTTGTCGTCAATTGTGCCCTGGGCGGACACGAGAGCGACGCCCGCCGCGGCGAGGGCGGTGATGACGGAGAAGACCTTCATTCTGACGAACCTAGGTAGGGTTAGCTACGTGGATACTGGGTGAAGTGCCGCATGAGAACTCTCATCGTGCCATTGACAATGCGGATAGCCGACGGAGGTGTGTAACAGCCAGGTTACCACTGCGACAACCAGACAATCAAATAAACGAACGAACAGACTCCTATTCATCATGAAGTTTCAAACAACTTCATTATGGAATGCGACCGTAGCAAGACTCTACCAGACCGCATAGACTTGGGCTGGCTTCGATTGAGGGATTGACGCAAAGTGAAGCTTACTTACTTAGTAGCGATGACAACTCGACTTCAACTCTGCCAGAGATACCCGTTGACCTGAGCAAAGTGCCAACACCTGGTGCGTGCGAGCGGAAGATCATTTCGCGACTTGTAACCCAGGATGGGCGCCGTCTGTTTATATTGCGATGGTAGCTCGGACAAGTTGCCGGGAACCAACACGTGTGTTGGAGCACATGGCGGGCATGCAAGGCATGGAATAGCTGCAATATGCACAGAAAAGATGGAGAAGTGAGGGAGGGAGGGAGGGAGGGTAAGAGGTAGGGATGGAGGAAGACCGAAGCCAGTCATGACGCCGTGCCTCTTTGGGCCGCACAACTGCGTAAGGCGAGATCCATATTCGATGGCTTCGACACTCTAATCTCCGCTGTCCAGTGGGCCTGACAACTTCGGCTCCGCTGGCGAGTATGCCCCGGACGGTGAGGTGGGTTGGCGCTATTTCTTCATATCGGGTGCTGCGCCGTTCAAGCCGGCCGCTGAGGATACGGCCCGGATCGGTGGCGCAGGCGGGTTTGTTTTGACCTTGTGTCTTGGTTGGACTGAATGAAATTCGATACGTCAATGATTTCTATCGCCATTGGTGTGTGGTCGCCGTAGACTTGGCCACCGATCCGTGAGTTACGATAGTAAACATGGCGGATGGACTGGTAACATCGACGGTTGGCTCAGATAAGGTAGGATCTGACGTCGTTCGCGTAGTTCTAGCGATGACTTGCCTAGAGAAGCATGCTGAGATCATGACAGAACCAGCAGGACTTCAGCCGGGAATAACGAGATCGAAGGACTTTTGCAGGGCCCTGGTCGTCACCAACACGAGTATGGGAGGGGAGGGTAACTCATACAGAAGCATCCCTGTGAGGTGCGGTGGTGCGCAGTTCTGCTGACCCGTGTTCTAGGTCTCAAAGGCGTCTTTACTCCTTAAGGTAGGCTTTGATCTTCCTGAAGAGGCGCGGTGTCTGTTCTTATCAACCTGCGATGCGCAGCTGAGGCGACAGAAGGTTCGGTGACAGACAAGATCGGCGTTGCACAATTCTTTGGTTGCCATTAATGCCAGCCCTCGTCACAATTGCTGCACATGGACCAATCTCACAGACGAACGTTCCCGTAATGTAGATGGGGTTGATTTCATTCGTCCTGCCACACATCCCCGTCCTTCGTCGCAGACCGGCCGAGATCTTGGTTGGTCAGTGCCATGAACTGTCGGTCGAACGTCAATAAGATAGAAGTTATGCTAAAACAGTTGGGTTGTGGCTCGTAGCTCGTATTCTGTCGGTCTACTGAACCGCCCGTCGTTACGTATTTGCAAATTTCTCTTCGAGATCTCCGCCATGTTCAGGTGAAAGAACACCAGCCTCTTCCGACTTAGACCGCAGCAACTTCATCTTAAGCTGTTGCTGATGACAGGGATGCTTGCATTGGTAGTGCTTCATCCCGGCTATCCGCGGCGGGCGCCAGTGTCCGACCAAAGAACACAGAGAGAAGGGGGGGAAAAATCCCTCAGAAGGGTGTCTCGGCCGATGGTACACGGAGCGTAGCTCGCCAGCTTTCATGAATAGTACCATTCTGTTGCCGGGATGCCATGGCACCCATGGTTATCCATTGGACAATTTGACAAGCAGACTTGGGTGCGTGGGATCAAAATCCTTCGATCACTTACAATATTTGTCTACCTCATCAGGATGCCTAAATCGGGAAGGCCTAGCGAAGGAGGATTCTTTGCCCTGAGGCCTGCATATCTTCATCGAAAACCACCTAGGAGAACCACAGAACTTGGGTAATGCCAAGTGCGGTTCCTGGAGGCATTCCGCACACACCACGCAGCGAACATCGCTGCCCAGAAAGGAAGCTCAGCGCCATTGACCGAGAGCTCTATCGAGTGACTGCATCATGAGAGTATCTCGGTGACTAAAGTAACGGCTGCCTTTTCCGTTTGGACGGGTTATCTGTTCGCCAAGTTCAGCCAGGATACCACCTCACCTTAGGTACACTGGATGTCGGACACTTCGTCACCATCACAGCAGCATCGGATGTCAGATCTCAATCGCGGCCGGGTGGTTGCAACGAGAACAGACGGACATCCCACCAAACTGAGTTGGCGGGAGCGGGAACCAGAACGGGACGTTGGCGCCAACAGCCCCCAAGCCCACAAAGCCCCCCTCAAGTCCTCGCAAAGGGACCACAAGGCGGACGATATTGTAGTGGTGTGGTGACATTAGGGCCCAAAGAACGACGGGCCCCAGGGCGCACAGACGGGCCTCCGGATGCTACGGATGGGCAGGGAACTTTAAACGAACCTGTGTGATGGTCGCATGCAACTTCAGTTTACCCAAGATGAACTGCAAGCCACAACGAGAACTCAATGGCAAGTAACATTCCGAAGTGCCCATCGAAGGATCTAGTCGACGCCAACAGCCGGACTGCGGCGTTTCTTATACGTGGTACAAGTCAATAGTGGCGTAGCCTCATGACGAGCTCTAACAAAGATTGTTAGCACGAAAAGCCTCTGATGAGTGAGCTGATTTTGTCGGACCAACAAGGGGAAAAGCCATTCAGCTTATGCGAAGAGGACCACCGGAATCCGCTACAGAACCCCATAAACCCTCCACGCCCCGTCTCCTCATCCGACAGAACGTCCGACCATGGATCTGGTGGATGTTGAAGATTTTGACGAGGAAAAAGAAAGCAACGGAATCGATTCCTTCGACATGTGAAATCCTGTACTCCGTTTAGGACCACTGGTACAGAATCACCTGCGCCTCATTTCCAAAAAATCGTCAACAACACCCGGGCTGTGGGCACACTGTCCGTCCTTCAAGTACGGTAGAGCCTAACCTAACTGGTATCGCTGTCCGATGCCCATGTCTAGACCTCTTCCTAAATGTGTAAAGATGGAAAGGCAAAAGAGTGACAAAGATGAGGGTGCCTGGATGATCCCGGTCAGGTACATGTTCGTCGGACATCTCTTTTGGGCTCTCGAGGCTGTTCTCTTTCATGCAGGCCTTTATGTCGAGGACCATCAATGGTCAATCTCTTCAAGCTTCCGCCTGGTCGGTATAGCATACGTAAGTCCAGGGCATAGAGCCAGATCAAAACATCAGCAAACTTTCACTGGACATTGATCTGAGAACCACAAACGTTTTCCTCAGCAACTGCCTGTTCATTCTACCGAAACCAACACTGCTCCAGAATCAAACGTTTTGTGTGGAAGACATTGGGGACGGTCCAGAATTTGATCCTGGCGACGACCACAAAGGATGGCGGATGCAACGACCCATTCATCCACCCTTTGGTGATCACTGTCCTTGTCCCTCGACCTGCGGAAAACTGCAAGGATATAGAGTTCGTTTCTTCTTGGTCGTCTCGCGATCGGTAATCTAGTCTATCGGCCGTTTTCTGTCTACATGTACCCGCAGCCCTGGTCTTCCTTCACCTGGCCCCCAAACCCGCGTTCGTCCCTCGGCGAACCACATGGTTGGCTATCCACCCTCCTTTCTTGGGAACGGAGACGCATAGTGGCCAACGGTTGATTATTCCTTCGAGTACTGCAGTAGTCTGCAGACTGTCACGCCCGTTTCACGCCACCCTCCTTCTCGGCTTCGATGCAAGGGCGGGTAAGAAAGAGAGTTGCAGACTTGTGCCTGGCGGGAGACATACGCGGGGGGCCGTTGTCTCTTCCTGTTCACATACTTTTTGACTGCCCAATGAAATCCCCGCCTTTCCTTTTCTACCACGGAAAGGTTATTGAACCCTTCGGACTTGGACGGACGGGCTCTCCCTAGTCTAAAGCCACAAATTCTGCACAAGATAGGCCTGGGAATGGACATATAACCGTTCGTGGGGACCCAGTCGTCCCAGCTTATTGGATTCTCCCTCGATCTGCGTCTGCCATCTTCAACTGTTCTGGTGTCTTGCCCACAGACCGTTGGCCTCTCGGGGCCCACAACCTCATCAGACCAGCTTGATCTCCTACGGCTTCAACATCAATCACTGCATATTCGACATGGTCGAGGGGAACATTCCCGGCGAGAGCAATGCGCTCATGGTGCAGGTGCCGGCCATTGTCTTCTTCGTACTCACGCCCATCTTCGTGGGCATCCGGTTTTGGTCGAGGATCAAGATGAGATCCGGCCTTGGTTGGGACGACTGGACCATCCTGTTCTCGTTCGTGAGTCTACTCTACAAGAAACTCGGTACCATTTTGTTCGCTGACGCTCCCAAGATCTGCTGCCTGACTGTATCGATATTGATGATGATCTCCTGCGAGTATGGGTTCGGCCAGCACATTAGAAACCTGTCTAAACCTAATAAGGTCATGACTTTGCAGGTATGTAGCCAGGAACACCTCATGCCGCTTGGTTGAAGTGAGGTATCATGTAACATCAGTCTGACTGTTGATAGTTGTTCTACGTTGCACAGATCTTCTACAAGATCACCATCAATCTCACAAAGGCATCGATATTACTCCTATATCTTCGCATATTCGTCCAGCGGTACTTCAGGATTCTTTGCTACACGCTACTCAGCATCATCCTGGCCTACATGGTAGCGACATCGGCCTCTTCGATATGGCAGTGTACCCCTATTCCGAGAGCTTGGGACAAGACTATTCCGGGCACTTGTATCTCGCTTACTATGAACTGGTATGCGAATGCGGGATTCTCTATCGCTACCGATATCCTCATCATGGCATTGCCGCAGCACGTTCTGTGGCAGTCGAAACTCCCTCTCAACCAGAAGAGGCTGCTCATGATTGTCTTTGCTCTGGGCCTTTTCGTCACGATCACGAGCATCTTACGTATGACGACGCTGAACTTTTCCACCACAAGCCCAGACACCACTTGTAAGTAACAAAAAGACTCCATATGACTTCAAACATATGCTTACATATTGACGCAGTCGACATTGCCTCCACGCTCTGGACAGTCGTCGAAGATAACGTCGCCATCATCTGCGCCTGCCTGCCAATGTGCCGTCTACCCTTGACCTACCTCTTCCCAACATACTTCGCGACCAAGAAAGGGTCGTCTGCCGGCAGCTACAACACAGGCTCCGCGCCGCGAACGAACAACAGCAACTTCATCCACGCCGGTACGAGCCGCAACGACTGGCACCCATACCAAGGCCGCGAAGAGAAGAACGGGATTCATCTGACGAGCGTGCATGCCAGACCAAAAGTTGGGGACGATACGAGCGAGGAGTACATCCTACCTACAGCCGCCGACGAAAGGCGTGTGAGGACTCCGAGCGAGGAGGTGGAGGATCGGCGGGCTATCAGGAAGACGACGGCGTTTCACATGACTTATGACGAAGAACGGCCGAGAGTATGATCCTAGGGATATAATGTGACAGAGAGGACAGCTACGAGTAAAAAGTATGATTTCCCGGAAATGTTACTACCTAATCCTCGTTCTGCGAGGTGTAGAAACACCTTAGACCGGAAGTGACTACGCCGAATCTTACGTGACTCATTTTGAAGTGTCCTTACCTCCAACCGCAATGAAAGAAGGGTTATGTGAGAGCTATGATATGTTTAAGCTGCAAGAGACGCAATAATTCTGTCGCGCCCAATGCAACGGTCGGTTGTAAAGCTGTCATACCGGCTGACATATTGACCAGTGGTGTTCAAAAGTAAAACGTCCTTATTCTGTCCATACAGCGGGAACTTCGCGATTTCCTGTCCATGGGGATTTCCGCTTAGAGTGAAGCTGGTCATGTATCGCTGCAAGGCAATCGCAGTCTCTGGACTAGACATACCAACCCCGTTATCGGAAAAGGTGTATGCAACATCATCGGCGTGCATGGCTGGGTATACACCAAACTCGTACTGATGAGTCGTGCCATTCAGCGCTCTCACGAGAGCAAGACCATTGCACCGGAAAAGCAAGTCCTGCATGGTGAGGGAAGTACGAGCGATGTGGTCCGTGTATCCATAGGAGCCATTGAGAATGGGCGGGTACAGCTCCGTTGCCATGTAATCGATCGAGTCAGCGCTGGCTCCGGGAAGGGTGACGGACATCCATTCGCGGTAGCCAGCGTCGTCTGTGATGTCGAAGGAACCGAAGAAGAGACCATCGTTGGTGTTTGAGCCAGCCATCACTTTGACTTTGGTATCGAACTTCCCCTCCGAGATCAAGACTGCAGGCTCGGCCGGGACAAAGGTGCCATCAACTACCGGGCTGAAAGTGAAGCTTCCCAGGCGGCCTGCAAAGACCTGATCGCTGTTGGCTGCAATCATAGAGGCAGCAGGAAGCTGCCTAGCTTCGGCTAGAGTGCTGACGTTTAAACGCGATAGGAATTCGGCAAAGATATCGTCCTGGTTCTGGGCTGGCGGAGATGGGAGGATCGCTGGGGACTGCGGGATAATCTGTTGGAAGGGAACGGAGCCCTGGGAGCCGCCGAAAGCCTACGGGATTTCCGTATTAGCCTCTTTCACCCCCTCAAATCACTTTTCCTTGACTCACAGTTGTCTGAAATACGATCGAACCTCCTCCAGCGGACTCTCCTGCAAGAGTCACACGAGCCGGGTCTCCGCCGAAAAGGTGAATGTTTTGTTGAATCCACTCCAGCGCAAACCTCTGGTCGAGGAGTCCAGCATTGGCAACGCCTCCCTGGGATGTAAATTCTGGGCCGCTGAGGAAACCAAAGGCACCAAGGCGGTAGTTGAGAGCCACATAAACAAAATCGTGGTTGCCTTGTCTTAAGAGACCAGCAGGCGAACCGCTGTTTAATCCAGCCTTGGAGCCAACGTCGTAGCCACCGCCGTAGATCCATACGAAAACCTGTTTGAGTAGCCAGTGTCAGCTCAGGAATCTTAGTTTCTTTGACGACAGGGAAATCGTATGGATCACAAGATGTTCTACTTACGGGTGCTCTAGTAGCAGTCTCATTGGACCTGACAGCATCAAAAACCTTCTTCGGGGCCACCACGTCAAGAAACAGACAGTCTTCGCTAGCTCTCGAGTCGAGGAGCTGACTAGCAGATATCGAGATGTTAGGACCGAATAGGTATTGGTATACTTGTTCGATCAGGCTCGGCGTCCATTCCGGGAGGGCCTGTGGGCAGATTCGGGCCTCTTCACCCTTCTGCACGATAGACCTGTTCGTTGCAGGAGGTATCGGGGCAGCGAATCGAAGACCTCCAATTGGTGGGGCTCCATATCGAATGTTGGAAAAGTTATATGCTTCACTCAAGGTCTGTGATCGGTGAGCTTTTCAAGGATGGCAAAATCAAGTGTCGTTGTCTTTGGGGCAATTGCCCTTCAAACACAAGGTTTTACTTACATCGAAGTTGAGAGCTTGATGAAGCTCGTAGCCTAAGTCTACAATCGGTAGACTATTTGACGTATTGCCTGTTTCGATGCATGACGCTGAAACGAGTGAGAGGCAGACGAGCGTGATGGTACCTGCAACGAAAGAACGCATCAGGGGGAGAGTGAAGCCGTGTCGATCTTTGATTGATGAGAAGTGAATCAAGTGTGCTTGCTAAAGAATGAACGGAGAAGAGAATTTGGTTTCTTTTTAACATTTCTACTGCTTTTTTGCTTGCCTCTCTTGGCTCTACTGAAGAAGACAGTATTGATTGCTTCTACTGCACCTCGCGGGTCTCTCCACTGACAAACCAGTCTGTACGGACGAACCTTGAGCCGCGATGCAGCCAGCTGACGTCTGTAATTGCTGCATGTTGGATTACGATAGCAGGAACCAAGACTATAAGTCAAGGGCAAGGGTGCTTGAGTCAAGCTGCGGCCCGATTCCTTAGCTGAGCAGACACCAGCGCGGAAACAAGCCGCTCTTCTTTCCTCTTGTGCTTCTTCTCTTTCTTTCTAGAAGGTCTGTTCCTCCTCCACTCTAGCCGTCTTCACCACCTTGCCAGGGCACGCCGGCATTCCATCAGCCGGGATATATCACGACTTGTAAATAAGCGAGAGAGAGAGAGAGAGAGAGAGAGAGACGCCATTAAGGTATTCGGATAGACGATGATGTGTATGGCTCGGATTTTGATTGGGCAGATACGCGTACGTGGCTGTCTGTAGTAGCCTGTAATGCTAATATCCCGGGGCCGGGTCCGTCAGCTCGGTTTCGGGAACGATATGAACCGGTTTAACTGCCGGGTAAGGCCATTCAGGAGCTACAGCCAGGGAACGGAGAGTCATTGTGGAGTGAAAGCTGTTTCTGTACCATTCCCGGGTCCATAAGGCTAGCAGTTACTTTCTTAGCGGGCAAGGAAGCACGGCCATGTCAGCGACACTGCGAGACATACTTGTTCCTATGTCCGTACACTCCGTCTAAAAGACTGACTGACGTAATGATGTTAAGTCCGTTAACAACAAAAAAAACTTGCAACTAGAGTTGGCTCACACGTACCTGTTAATCTCACATATTTAATAATCAATTATTCCGTAGTAAAAATTGACTGTATTACTGGACAAGATACACATTGTTAGAACCTACGTGGTCGCATTTTTAATTTTCTGTTCGTCAAGACTGAGCCACCTCCTTGGCAATTTCACACATCCAACCTTCTCAAAAAATGACCAGAGTTCTTCTTACCGGAGGCAGTGGCTTCATTGCTACGCATATTCTGAAGCTTCTTCTTGAACGCGGGTAGGAGACATTCCAATTCACGACTAAAAAGTATATGCTGGTCTCAACTAAAAGCATCCATGTAGACACTCTGTGGTCACAAGCGTCCGCAACCAAGCCAAAGCAGACGCTATCAAGCAGTCATATCCTGAAATCGGAGCCGACAAATTGTCCTTCGTCATTGTTCCCGATGTGGCTAAGAGCGATGCATTCACCGATGCCGTCAAATCTGACCCACCATTTGAGGCGGTCATTCATACTGCAAGTCCCTTTCACTTCAACGTGACTGACATCAAGGCGGACCTCCTTGATCCCGCTATCAACGGAACAACCGGTATCCTCCAAGCTATCAAAAAAAAATGCCTCGTCGGTTAAGCGCGTGGTCATCACGTCATCCTTCGGTTCCATGATGGACATTTCCAAGGGGCTATGGCCCGGTCACACTTATGACGAGAGTGACTGGAGCCCCATCACGATGGAACAGGCGTTGCAGAGCGCTGGCGCTGGTTACTCTGGTGAGTTGACTCCTACTGTCTCGAGATCGCGCTGAATGCGGCACTTGATAATTGCTATGTATCTGACAAGTATACAGCAAGCAAGAAGTTTGCTGAAAAGGCAGCTTGGGACTTCCTCGAGGCCGAGTCTCCTGCGTTTTCCATTTCCACAATCTTACCACCCCTCGTCTTTGGTCCTGCTGTGCAGAGCCTGGCTTCCCTTGATGCCCTCAACACCTCAAACCAATTTATCCGCAGCTTCATTCTTGGCGCGGCGAAAAAGGAAATTCCTCCCACTCAGGTCAGTCCATCTTCCCTGCCGTAACTCCGATTATTTCGACGCACTTCGGCTGACTCGAGTGTGTATCACAGAACCCCATCTTCGCCGATGTACGAGATGTGGCATTTGCTCATGTAGCGGCCATGGAGAAGAAGGAAGCTGGCAACAAACGCTTCTTTATCACGAACGGCTACTGCTCAAACCGTGAGATTATTGAAATCATCCGAAAGCGCTTCCCGGAATACAAGTCAGCTTTGCCTTCCAAATGCACTAAGGGCGGTGGTACGTGGAAGCTTTGATTGCAACTTATTCAACGATCACTGACCGCTGTCTAGAACTGCCCAAGGAGGTTTACCAAACGAACACCACACGCAGCGTCGAGATTCTGGGCATGAAGTACGCGGATTTCGAACATTGTGTTATTGACACCATTAGATCTTTTGCCTCCGTCAAGCAGTAGCATCACAGTGCTCGGGTATCGGGGGAGATGACATCAAAATTGTAGCATATCTAGCATAGGAATGATTAGGATTGCTTCTATGTTCGAAATGTGTTAATCCATAGGGGTGATGTGCGATAGTCTAGAATTTGAACTTCAAGTAATATTAGAAAACCCCAAACCCGAAGAAAATGATGCTGCTATGAGGTGGTCTATCAACGTAAAGGAATCTGCACAGCAATATCCTAAGGCATGAAGTCCTGCGCCATCATGTACGCTTCATTCCTGGCCTCCTCATCATGTAGAGCCCCAATATGGTTTCCGGACAAGAAGGGGGTTTAGGGAAGCCATGGTTTTTCGTCAAACGGACGTAATGAAGCCTACCATTTTTGCAAATTGTAAACCGATAGAAGAATGAGACAAACAAGTATCGGTTCAAATAGAATGTTTGATTGGTAGGAGCATGTATAGTAGTTTCATGCGTGCTGATGATCCAAGCAACCTGTTGCTGTCGTCTTGTTCCAACATCGGCTGGGGACCGATAATGCGGCCGACGCGGCCGCTTGCGATGACTGAGTTCGCTAGAGGCCCAGAGCCTCTAGTAGGTAGCAAGGAAGGTTGAAACCAAACATTCAATTGAAAAGGACACAGTATAATTAGAGACAAATTCTACCTAAAGTATCTAAAAAGAGACCACTTATGAACTGAATGGGGTGAGAGTCTGGAGTTCCCGGCTGGATATTCCAGCGCGGGCAATGCGGCCGCATGCCGCACGTTGACTAGTGAGTGGAGGGAGGCGCAATGCGGCGACGCGGGGATACGGTAATGAGATGCATGCTTAGCCAAATCGACGGCGGATGAATAGGATACTTCTGGACTTACGAACATTAATTCCGAGAGAGGTCATGTTGCCTGCGCGCTGGTGGCTTTTTGTATGTCTGAGAATCGAGTATAAAGGGTCAGGTCGGTCGATTTGACATAACCTGGTGGGAGTTGAAAGCATATCACACCTCATTATACTTTACATCTCCATACACTTCAAATCCCCAACAAGCGGCTGATCAGTCTCCCATTTTTACATCATGTCTTCAAAGTACGCCTCTTCCCATCTTTCTCCTCAAGGTCCTGGGGATGCTCGTCCTACAGCCCTTCAAATCATCAAAGACGAGGGTGTTGAAGACAAGCTCTCTGACAAGGTTGTCCTCATCACTGGCTGTTCCTCCGGCCTAGGAGTTGAGACGGCGCGTGCGCTGTTGGTGACAGGTGCAACATTGTACCTGGCGGTTCGCAATCCCGCCAAGGCGAAAGCTGCCTTGGGCGACATGTCCCAGAACGACCGAGTCCATCTCTTGACGCTTGACCTGAATGATCTCACGAGCGTCAGGGCCTGCGCCGCAGACTTCGCGACAAAGAGCAAGATCTTGAACATCCTCATCAACAACGCGGGTGTTATGGCGACACCTGAGGGCAAGACTTCCGATGGGTTCGAGACCCAGTTTGGCACCAACTATGTCGCCCACTTCCTCTTCTTTCAACTCCTCAAACCTATTCTTGTTGCCTCCTCGACCCCAGAATTCCCTTCGCGGCTAGTCAACGTCTCTTCAAGCTTGCATAGAGCCTGCGAGGTCCAATTTGACAATTTTAATTGGACTGGAAACTACGACCCCTGGAAGGCTTATGGCCAGAGCAAGACTGCTCTTGTATGGATGGCCAACGAGGTGGAACGCCGATATGGATCTCAACACCTCCATGCCTTCAGTCTCCACCCAGGGGGCATCTTGAGCGGTCTTCAGCAACATGTCCCTGTCGAACTGAAGGAGGCATGGGGGAGGAATGAGGCCCTCGCCAAGCATTGGAAGAGCGCTGAGCAGGGAGCCGCGACTACTGTGTGGGCGACGGTTAGCAAGGACTTGGAGGGCCGGGGTGGTAAGTATCTTGAGGACTGCCAAATCATTGGTGCATGGGATCCCGCAACTGGTGATGTTGGCTCGGGATACGCTACGTGGGCGTACGACCAGGAGAAAGCTGAGAGGCTGTGGTCATTGGGTCTCAAGCTTGTCGGGCTACCAGATGCCGAGTAAGGCCATACTTCGGACCGCCTGGAGATGCTATAAATTGTATGAGCTTTCTGGTAGAAGCATGAGATCTTAAACAGTACTCCAAAAACTATATCGTTGCATGCACGATCAAGTACGCAGGCTAAGTATGCAAGAGCATCACGTAGTGTTGTAATTGACAAGGCTATTGTTCATCATTTCCAAACCTCCCATTTCAAGCCGTACGTTTAAAACCTGAAGTGACCAACTATTTGGTGAGGACTCCCACAACATGGGGGATCACATCGCTGCTTGACTCATCCGGCGGTTGGGCCAAGTCCACCTCGCTCCATGAGCCAACCTGCCTCAAGGTCTGCCCAGTGGCTCGGCACAATTGACAAGAACCCATCATGTGCTCCCAAAAGATATTTGTGAATTCTGGGAAACAATGTCAGTATGATGCATGTCCGAAGGTGTAGGAAGGTTTCTCACGTTGAAAAAATGGGATAAACAGCCCTTGCTCCGCCTTGACATGCTCAAAGACGTACCATCGGCCGCCCTTCTTCAAGTAGTTGTAAAGCAGCTGTATGTTCTTCTCCGGCTCCGGAATGCTGCAGAGGCACTGGACAGTCATGATGCAGTCGACGCTACCGGGCTCGATCCGTCCGCCCCAAGCCGACTCATTGTGCAAATCCTCAATGCCTACCGGCACAACCTGATAGGTTCCTTTTAAGCCGACCTCTTCGACACGTCGTTTCAGCGATGCAGCAGAAACCGGGTTCGGCTCGACGCCGTAGATCTTGGTCGGAGCTGCACGGGACTCGGCCTTGGCGGACCGGACGACGGTGGCGAGCGACTCGGTCCACATCCCACTGCCGGCTCCGATTTCGAGGACAACACCTTCGATAGGCTTGCTGGTGCCTCTTTCGGAGACCCGTCCGTCACGAATTCGGCCCTCCAGGAGCGGCAAGACTTTGTCCTCTGCGCTGGCTTTGGCTTTGGGGCCCATGAATTTCCAGAACTCGCCGAACCAGGCCTCTTTGAGTGCGGACCAATTCGACAGGGTCTTGACGTCACCGGTGATAGCGAGTTTGAAGATGGTCAACCATAGGTAGATCAAGGAGATGGTCATGAAGAACCATGGTAGAACGATCTTTTCCAACATTGTGATCATGTGAGGCGGTTCGATTGATAGCAGAGACCTGAATACTCGCAATGGTATCACTGTGATGCTTTTGATGCCTTAATACAACATAAATTCGGAAACTTTACGAGATGTTTCCGTCCTCTTGGTCAAAAGCGGTGGAGCACGGATATTTTGGCGCCATAGAATGGCAGCAGAATGCAACGGAGACAAAAAGTTTGCCCCTCAGTTTCAAACCCCGCGCCGCCTAAGGTGGACCGATCATCTCCAAGACGTAACGTGGGGCCGGGAAACTTGCTCGCTTCGATGGAGAGAGTGCGTGAGTTCTGCAGTGAAAGCAAAGACAAGGTAGAGCGAACTAAGAATATATCTTTATCAGATAGAATGTAGAGTTTATGACACGTTTAGGGACGCGCAACTACAATAGGCACCAGTGGTAGACTTTGTTTCAAAAGGCCAAAAGACCCGAGATGAGATTTTCTATGTACAGTCTAATCATTGTTCATATTACAAATGGGATTTTTACAGGCGGACACTGATGTTCAGAGTCCCGGATTGCTGTTGAAAGCCAGCTAGAGCATTTAGAGCTTCTTGACAGGCTTAGCGGCAGGCTCCTTGGAGATGCGCTTGGCAGTCTCCTGCTCATCGCGCTCGTGGAGCTCAGGCTTGGAGTCCAGGGGGCGGTCCAGGCCGAGGCGGTGGTAGGTGCTATAGGAAGCGATGCCGCCCTGGGGGTCGGCCTCGGTGACGAGCTCCTTGCGGCGGGTGTCGACCAGGAGGCGGATGAGGTCGGGGCGCATGTAGTGGCCGGCGAAATCGGCGAGGACCTTGGTGAGGTGGGTCTCGTTGAGGTCAATGTCGACGAACATGAGACCGTCAAAGTCCTTGTCGGGCTTGGGGACAGCCAGGCTGCCGTCGGGCTTGTAGATGCGGGCGTGGCCGTTGTAGTCGGAGGGGTCGGTCTCGGGCTCGACGCCCTCGGGGGTGTTCTTCTTGAGACCCTCGACGGAGAGGCGTTGGAAGGGAGCGAGGACCCAGGTGCCGGTCTCGATGGCATAGGCCGGGGTGACGAGCTCGGAGGCAGTGTCGGCGTAGTTGGTGGCCGGGTCAGGGGACACCTGGCGCTGGACGCCGGGGTAGATGGGCCATCCGGCGACGTGAACCTGCTCGCCCTGGGAGACGTTGAGGGACTTGAGGAAGGGGTTCATGTTCTCCCAGCAGTTGAGCTGGCCGACGCGGCCGATCTCGGTCTCTGAGACGGACATGAAGGTGTCGCCGGAGCCATCACCGTAGACAAGCTTCTCAACGTGAGTGGGCTTGATCTTGCGGCGGTGGTTGATGATGGCGCCGGTGGGGTCGATGAAGACCTGGGCGAGGTAGAGGGTGGCATGGTCAAGCTCGGCGAAGCCCATGGAGACGAAGATCTGGTTATCTCGGGCGGCGCGGCGGATACGGCGCATCTCCTCAGAGTCGACGCGGAGGGAGTTCTCGCGGTACTTCTTGAGCATGGGGAGGGACTGAAGGTAGGTGACCTTCCACATCCAGTAGGGGTAACCGGGGATCCCTGTGGGGGTATTAGCATGCTGAAGAAGTTTGAGGCCAGGAGGGGTCACTTACAAACTTCGGGGAAGGCAACAAGCTTGCAGCCGGCCTGGCCAGCCTCGTTGATGAAGTTGATGGTCTTCTGAACACCACCCTCAAGGTCGAACCACTAGGAAAGTCAGTTATAAGTGGAAAGGGAGGAAGATGGCATCGAGGCTTACACCGGGCTCGGAGGTGACGGCGGCGGCCTTGTACTTGGTGATAGGCATGTTGGCGGGTGTTGTTATCGAAAAGATTCGAAGGGAGTTGAGTCGATGATTGTATGAGACTAGAAGTCTTGATGATTGATGATCTTGTGTGAGTGTGATGATCTGGAAGGAAAAAGAGATGAACCAAGTCGCGATGCTGAAGCCTTTTTATGATTTCTTCTTTCTCTCAAAACTGACTTTGTTGGAATGGATTGACCAATTCAACGCCGTCGGGCTTTGCGAACCATCTTGCAGACTGCATTTGACAAGTTGCATTTCTGAGTTCTTCAACACAGGTTGATGTCAGTTGCTCGCTTGATTACAAACGCCGTATGTGTTACTGCCTATTGATGTGATCCGGGCATTCGGGTCGAGTTGCGCAAGTTTCTAGTCCGCATTTCATTTCCATAGGCCGCCAACACCTTTGTGGCGTGACTGATGTTCGAGAAGTTCCGAGCTGACGAACGGTAACCAGACGGACAGGCTGTGACACGACTCAGGCACTGCGGATACCAACATCATTCCTCACAGGTGGTAGGTAGCAGAGACTCGGAAGAACGCGCATCAAGCAGTCCCCTTGGACCTAATTCCGAGCCATGCGAACTTCGTCCGGGTGCCACGGAAAGCTGGGCAAAAGCCGCGCTGCAGAATGACATGTTGCCTCTGACGTAAACAGCACCCCGACTGCCGCTTTCCTCCGGGTCGATCAGGCGAGATCTTTTGGGTGCTCTTAATTTAGTTCCCGTCTTCCCGGCAGCGGCGCGGTTCTCAACGTGCAGCTGGCCGGGGGGCCATCGCCGTTTGTGGATCTCCGGGATCTGGAGATCTGCGTGCGTTCAAACCCCGCCAGATCCAAACACCTACATCGTCTGATGTTCGGGGACGCCTCGATCCCGATAATCTGTGGGGAACCCTGGGTGTCAGTCACGGGAGAGAAGGAATTTGCTAAATACTATGTGGAATTGTTCCTATCCACTACCGATCTGATAATGCTGTCTCTGCTGTGCGTATGGGCGACCTTGTGCTCTGCAACGAATTGAATGCTCGCGAAACACAGCTCTTCCTTCCGTTCGCGTATCGATCCATGTCACCATTGCGTCTCCCGACTGTCCTCGAACCAAAGCATTTCCTCGAAGGCCCTAACGCCTCATCCTATACTCAAACACAGTCTTCACCCAATGCTCCCTCACCCCCTGTCTCCAACTCTAGTGCTTCGTATATTGCTCTGCGTTCTGCCCGCTTCTGCTTCACTTCTTGAGGAGATAGTCGCGCTTCAGGAGAACTTTCATGATAGCCTTGGAGCGAGAAGGCTGTTCCTTGTAGGTCGGGTTCGGGTTACCGAGCTTGTCCCAGAGGCTGGGAAGGCCGCCAGCACCCCACTTGTCGCGGAGTTCATCGTAAAACTCCTTATCGTGAATTCGCCAGAATTCCTTTTCCGTGTAGTAGTTTTCACCGTAAACCACCTTGATACCGCCGAGATCGCGAGTAGCCTGCTCAATCATCTTGTTATCCCGGATGAATCGCTCAAAGGCCTCGGGGCTGTCGCGACCTGGAACGTCATCAGGCCCGTGGATGGTCTTGGGACCCCACAATCGTACATTGACATTGATATTGTGGCAACGTTCACGGTTGCGACTGTCGGGAATGACTCTTACGGGGCAGATCCAGACAGGATAAATCCCCAAGTTGTTGTTGACCCAGTCGAGGAAGGCCGCAACGGTGTTTCCCGGCAGCGTAATATCTTGAAAGAACATTTTGCGGTTCTGTCTGCTATGATGGATACTAGCGAACAAGCACTCACCCTTCACGATGGGATTGAGAAGAAAGCGTGTAAGACCGTTGAAGGTATCGGGATTCTGACCGTAAACTCCCATCCAGAAAGAGGCTCTATCGTATCGGAAGAGATAATCCTTGATCGGTACCAGGTCAGTGACTATTTCTCTCTTGCCGACTGAGCGAGATTCCGAAAGCGTGCAGAGCATGCAATTGGTGTCTCTGACGTGGGAGACCGACTCGTGCACATGCAGAGCGAACCACTGATCATGAGCTCGGCTGAAGCGAACGACAGGCATGCCCTGCTTCTTCTCATCCGTCATGGTGCCAGTAATGATGACACCATCGTTTAGGCCGAACATAATGGCATCGACGAAATCGACGGGCGAAGTGTCGGCGGTGTAGGACTGCATAGTGTTCAAAGCTTCGGCGGCGGAGTGAACTGGGAGATAGTTGAGCTCGACAAATCGGCGAGCAGGAACAAGCTTGACTTCGATAATTGTGCATAAACCGAGAGTACCACAAGAGCCAGCGAGACCACTAAAGAGGTCCGAGTTCTCGACGGGCGAGGCGGTGACGATGTTGCCGTTTCCAAGGATGACCTCGAGAGAAGCGACAGACTTTTCAAAGTGACCATAGCGGAATGAAGAACTCTCGAGCGCAGTGCCGGAAAAGGCGCCGCCCACGGTGATGCCAGGGAACTCAGGGACAACGGCAGGAATGAGGCCGTGCTTGAGCGTGGCCGTGACGAGAGTCGCTATTGATGCATTTGGTTCCACGGCAGCGCGGCGCCGGCGAGGGTCGACAGTGATGACATGATCCAGCCCACTGATGTCGATGATCTCATCCGCCTGTCGGGTGCTGGGCCGGGTGCTGTTGGTCGTCTTGTGATAAACGCGATATTTTATTCCGTCGCGAGCGAATTGTCTAGCCTTGGCGGCGATGACGCTGACGCGCCGGCGATGCTTGATCAAGCGATACTCCGTCTCAATGGATTCGGCCATTTTTCCATGAAGTAGACGTGAAATGATTGAAGACTGATAAGGATAGGTCCGACGAACTACTTGAAGCTTCCGAGGGTGGAACAAAAATGTGGTGGGAATCGGCGGTTGGTGAGGTGACAAGTCTCAAGGAAAGCAACTCGACTGGAAAATAGAAAGTTGGAAGGAGGTATAGGCAACAGGGAAAAGTCCTCTGACCTAATCAACCACAGCGGGGTGAGGGTATCTAGACGGAGGAGGCCGGAAGGATGAGGAACTTCTTGGAAGACCAGTTCCGTGCCATGAACCCTGGGCCTTGTGAGAGGATCCGTGACCAGGCAGTGAAAGGCATGATGCTTATTGCCTCGTCGTATGTTGTGTGTGGGCGTGGCTGAGAAGGCGAGTGCAGGGGATGACTGTGCCTTCATTGTCTCTCTTTGGTGACATGAAGAGGTAAGACGGGAACCATCTTATGGCT